TTGACATTAGCTATGGGTGGGGCCCATCTATAGTTGGCCGGCCATGGCAATCTTTGAATTTTGCAAAATGTTGCTGGACAATAAAACCCAGCAGCCGGACAACTCATCCAACTAGGCAGTACCACGTGACCGGCCAGCCTTGCGGCATGCATGCACGACGAATACACGGTGCCAGCGCCGCGGAACATTTAATCCAACAAGATCTATCAATTAGCATGAAGCATCCGGCGCAACTCCAGTCCTAACTATAGTTGGGCCTGCTCACAGGCACGACGCTCTGCTCACAGGTACGATGGACTTGCTCACAGGCATGATGGACCTGCTCACAGGCACGACGCTCTGCTCACAGGAACGATGGACCTGCTCACAGGCACGATGGACCTGCTCACAGGCACGATGGACCTGCTCACAGGAACGATGGACCTGCTCACAGGCACGATGGGCCTGCTCACAGGCACGACGGACCTGCTCACAGGCACGACGGACCTGCTCACAGGCACGATGGGCCTGCTCACAGGCACGATGGACCTGCTCACGGGCACGATGGACCTGCTCACGGGCACGATGGACCTGCTCACGGGCACGATGGACCTGCTCACGGGCACGATGGACCTGCTCACAGGCACGATGGACCTGCTCACAGGCACGATGGACCTGCTCACAGGCACGACGGACCTGCTCACAGGCACGATGGACCTGCTCACAGGCACGACGGACCTGCTCACAGGCACGATGGGCCTGCTCACAGGCACGATGGGCCTGCTCACAGGCACGATGGACCTGCTCACAGGCACGATGGACCTGCTCACAGGCACGATGGACCTGCTCACAGGCACGATGGACCTGCTCACAGGCACGATAACAGATAGGTGTCCTTTATAGTACACCATACTTATGTACGTACGATGCATTCTCTATGAAAAAGAAGTGCAGCTTTTTGCTGTGTTGTGCGACACAGGGGTGTGTTTTAGTACGAACAATTTGCCATTATTTCCATGCGCTTGTAAATTACAAATTATACTTTTCACGAAGCCCAAAACATTTCATTGTTTTAAAATGAGTTCTTCAACGTCATCATACAATTTTCGTAAAGAATTTATTCGAGAAACAATGTAAAACCCTGAAAAAAAAAATAAACACCCCTGAAGATGTACATGGATCCGTCCATAAATTTTTTTTTTTTTTTTTACGAAGAATGGCGCGATCCGTCTGGTTTTGACATTACTACGCGTTGCTGCAAATACAAATCTGATAAGTTTGGTACTTAAAAAGGATCTGTTTGTTCTTAGGACAAAAAATCAGCAGTTAGGCCAAAAAAAAGTCTCCGATTTCTGGTATGGAGCTTGCCCAAAAAGTGGTGTGGCGACGCAGCTTTTTTTTTTTTTTTTTTTCCTGATTTTTTTTGCCTCAAATGTCGGCTGATGACTGCAAATGGTGCCCGACTAAACTTAGTGCAAATATATGGGAGTCCAGAGAGGCCACATAAAGCTTATTCTCGACCCAATCTAAAAACACATTAAAATTGTGCAGCAGCAGGATTCCAGTCAAACCAGTGAGTTTGGTGGTTTGGAAACATCATCTTTCATTGACAAAAAAATTTCATTTTGCCGACGCGCATGGCTACGGCGACGCGCGCGCATACCAGAAACCGTGGACTTTTTTGTTTTTTGGCCTAATCTAGGGATTTTTAGAACTTTATTGTGATGTCTAGACAGTGGTACTTGGTGAGGAGCTGCAAGTCACGGCTTTTGTAGTGCACTGGGCTGGAGTGCAAGATCAAAGAGACTGCCGCACAGCCAACTCAACGGTTCCTCTTGAACCCGGAAAACATTCCCTTTGAGTCGGGAAACTATCTGGAAGAGGAATAATTAATGGCCCTCGCCTGGCTGACGAACTATAGACGCGTCGCCGGGCCTAAGCGTGAAGTGACGGTTGATGCGTTGGCTTTCACTAAATCAAAGAGACTGCGGCACAGCCAACTCAACGGTTCCTTTTGAACCCGGATACCATTCCCTTTGAGTCGAGAACTTTCTGGAAGAGGAATAATTAATGGCCCTCGCCTGGCTGACGAACTATAGACACCGGGCCTAAGCCTGAAGTGACAGTTGATGCGATGGCTTTCACTAAATACATTTACTGGAAATGGAAAAGTTTTGTGAACCTTCAGAACCTTCAGAAATTTAACTGTATGAAAACGTCTGGAGGGGCCTTCTAAACATACAGTACGTCATGCATGCGGCAGGCTTTCTAAATTTTAAAGTGAGCTTTCTGGGTCAGGTCCTCTATGTCCGTGGCATCAAGTCTGGTTTAGAAGTACTTCAAGTCAGTCGTGTCTTTCATGTCAGCTGGTGGACGATTCCATTCCGGTATGGTGTATGGGTAGAGTGAGAACTTGTAGCAATCTTTGTTAACTGTTATTCTTTTAAAGGTATTTGGATGGTTATTTCTGGATTGTCTGTTTTGGGTTTTATCCTCCTTTGTTTAGCTACTGATCAGAGCTGTTCTTCTTGATTATGTAAATGATTTTGTTCTATCATCATTTTTACCTACACATTATTGTAATTTATTTCCATTTATTCCGGTTTTTGCCTTCCATCCCCATTGTCTTGTTTCTCTCATGTTTGTTGTGTTTATAATCCATTTGTATGTATAATCATGCTAATTATCGGGGTCCATACCCACAAGCTAAGCTTTTTTTTTATGGATTCCGCATCTCTATTAATTGTATTTATTATCTGCCTATCACCTTGTACTCATGTAAATTATGAGATGAAATAAAGTCAAGTTCAATTCAATTCAATTCAATTGTGAACTTGAGGTGGTCCATATGGAGCTAGATGGTTCAGTTCTTTGAAGATGATGGTTAGACGAGATTTCAAACGTCTAACATCAAGTCGTTCCCACTCAAGTTGTTGAAGAAGCTGGGTGACACTGGTTTCACGTCTGTTATCGTTGGGGACAAAGCGTGCTACTCTGCGTTGAATTTTTTCAATTGTTTGTTTGTTGGTCTGTTTGTGTGGGTCCATTGCTGCAGTACTCTAATTTGGGTCGAACAAGTGTCTTGTAGGCAGTGGCTTGGTCTTTTCGTCATAGCATCTCAGTCTCTTTTCAGAAGGCCAAGAATCGTATTTGCTCCAGAAGTAACCTGGCTGATGTGTTTGGACCAAGAGATATCAGGTCAAGGAAACCGGACGATAGTTAGCAGGGCTGGTTGTGTCACCTTTTTAAAAAATTGGTGAAACTTTTGCACTCAGCCAATCCTTAGGCAGCATCCCACTGTCTATTGACTTCTGAAAAATCTTCTGAAGTATTGGGGTGATTGATTCCGAGCACTCCTTTAAGACTCTGGCAGGGATATTATCCGGCCCGGATGCCTTGTTTACCTTGAGATTCTGGAGCAGTTTCTCGACTCCAGGTGTTGTGATGATCAGAGAAAGCAAGTCTGGAACTGAGCTGTGACCGGTATCAGGGATGTTAGTCAGATCTTACTGTGTAAAGATGGAACAAAACTGTTTGTTCAGGACCTCAGCCTTTCCCTTTGCACTAGAGATGGTTCACCCAGCGACATTCAAAGCAGAAACACTTCTTGTCTCGTGCTCTTGATGAAATTCCAGAATGGCTTAGGATTTTTGGATTGTAGACTGGCTCCTGTGACATCCTTTACGTAAGTCTTGTACTGTTTCCGGATCTTTCGGTCAGTGCGACGTCTCAGTAGCTTGAACTTGTCCCAGTTTACTCTGCTGTTACTTTTGCGAGCTTTCTTATTATATAGAGGCGTTGTATTTTTGCGGATTTCTATCTTAGTTGCACTAGTGATCCAAGGTTGACTAAGTCTAGATGAACTCAACTTAGATGGAATATGCTGGTTCATTGCTGCTTGTAAGGCATCTCTAAAAGATGTCCACAAATGGTCAATTTGTGTGCTGACAAGGTCCAATAACGTTGGTAAGGAATAATTGCCAAAAAAGTCACGTTGGCAATGCAATACTATTAGTTGTTGTAACCCCCCCCCCAATTTTTTTTGACATTACAAATGCGCTTTTCAAGTTCTATTCAATTCACATTGCATTGAAATATACTGAAGTATGCTGAAACTTATAAAACCCGAAAGAATGTGTTTTTTTTGGTTTAAGTTAAAACAAATGGTTCCACTGGAAGCGGGTGAATTTCTGTTCATAAAAATATTCACATAGTTCTAACTCACCAAACGATGTGGCTCTGGATATATTTGCAGTATTTTGTTTGAAACAGGGAATGGCAAATTTAAAAGACTAAAAGAACAAATGTATCTTTATGTTTATGATCGGTAGATGGTGTTATGGAGTGGCATTACGCGGCCACCGTATCCATATTGTATGATGTTATTACGGGCTGTTAATAAATGTCTTTCAGTGAATGCTACACTTGAGTCCTGCCGTCTTTAGAACATGGTGTCAGAGGTTTGTGGTTAGACATGTTAGAGGCAATAATTTATCGGTCTACAGAGTTTTCATGAGGAAAAACTTGCAGAGGGTAAAACATGAATAGGTTTTTAGTAGGGGGTGCTGAATCAGATTAAAACGAAACTACACTGGAATTGGCGTAAAGCATGACTGGTTTCAATTAACCTTGCTATTTGTAAATGTTGAGTACAGAATGCTTGCAACATCAATGAAACTTTTAAATGAAAAGAAAAACCTTCAGGGGAAAGGTATGAACAGTTGCCCCTATTGAAGATCGAATGAAAAAAATACTGGCAAGCATAATAAATTCCAAATAGTTGGGGATGCTGCTGCACCCACAGCACCCCTCGTTCCCGCGGGCTTGCCATTGATCCACCTTTGCCTGGGTGTGTCACGATTCCTATACGTGGTATACAAAACCCCACAACAAAAGTAACTTTAAATTGCCAATTTTCAATTCCCCGAAGTGAAGTGCTGAAGGTAAGTACAATGAATACAATATATACAATGTATACAAAATGTACTAAAATGTTGGTTTGTGTTTAACCCCATCATTAGTGTGAGGCTCCCTGCTCTGATAGACGGTGCCGAGGTTCGATTCTCGCCCCATCCAATCGGACGGGTTCACTCCCGAGACCCACAACTGAAGTACTCAAACAAGCAACGGAGTTTATCGAGCAGTACTACGTTCACATCAACAGGTGAAGACAAATAATTAAAAAATTGCCTTGTATACATTTATTGTGTTGGTTTTTTTTAGTGTATTATTTTAGTAACATGCGGGTGATGTATGCAGATTACCGCTTGCAATTACGGGTACTGTTTTGTTTGGTTGTGACGTAGCAAAAGGAAATGTATATTTTCACAGCTGAACTACTTGTTTTGATGACCGTGGGGGCACCCCTTGAAGACTTGTCAACCAGCTTCCTCCATCCCTCTCGATCCTCAGACTTTCTCAGGGAGTCACTCAGCGTCAGGCCTGTCCACTCCGAGATGTTGTCCTCCCACCTCTTTCTCTGCTTGCCTCTCTTTCTTCCTCCTTGTACAGTGCCTTGCAGGATCGTCTTAGCAAGTCCTGATGATCGTGAAATGTGCCCATACCACTTCAGTTTGCGCTTTTTCACAGTGGTCAGGAGATCTTCGTAGGATCCAATGACTTGCCTGATTCTGGTCCGTACCTCCTTGTTGGTGATGTGATCTTTGTAGGAGATGCCAAGAATCTTTCTGTAGCATCTCATTTCTGTGGTCTGTATTCTCTTCTCTAAGTCGGCTCTTAGAGTCCACGTCTCACAGGCGTAGAGGAAGACGGAGATGACCAACGAGCGCATCAGTCTGATTTTTGAGCTGAGCTTGATGTTCCTGTCATTCCAAATGGGCTTCAATTTTGTCAGCGCTGCCGTTGTCTGCACGATCCTGGAGCATATTTCTGGTTTCGACCCTTGATCACTCACAACAGCTCCCAGGTACTTGAAGCTTTGGTCAGTGTCCAGCTTCCTGCCGTTGACGGTGATGTCAGTGGTGATGCCGTTGATGCCGTGGATACTGTTGGTCATGAGTTTCGATTGCAATACCACAGTTTTAATTTACTTACGGAAATTTGTGACATCAACATGGATCTGGCATGGGGATGGGGACATTAAAAAAAAAGGGGGGGGGGGGAGATGCTGGTCGGCCAGCCCCTTTTAATTTGCTCTGCATCCGCCTGTGTGTAGTGTGGATTCGTATCGTTACTCCTTTTCATCATTTTATGTTTCAGAGCGAATACCGATGCTCATGCGACACGGTTAGCAGAAGTTACGGCGTGTATTGAGACTACAGGGACTTACCGTCTTACGGAGGCCGAGCTGTCGTATGGAGCCAAGTTAGCTTGGCGTAACGCACCACGATGCATCGGTCGTATCCAATGGTCAAAACTACAGGTTCGCCCCCTCCCCACAACCCCCCCCAAACCCCCCCCCAAAAAAAACCCCCACCAAAACAAACAAAAACAAAACAAAAAACAAAACACCCCAACAAAGGCAAAGAAACAAAAGAAATCATGAAAATAGCTCTTTTACGATGGTTATATTCCCGTATTTTCTTCTTACATATTCCATTTGGCTGTTTTATTTTAACAAGCAAATCCTAGATTCTTCCATAGCTGTCTGCAACTCTTCTCAGGCCTATACACTCATTTTATATAGGTTTTGCACCTCTAATTCACAAAGACCCCCTGACTTATTGTCGGTACTCAAATAATTCAGAATATATAATTCATTATCGATATTAAACTTTAGAGGAATTTTTCGTTCGCTATCCCATTTTAACAGTGAATAACTTTTAATTACTATAGACAAATTGCATTTTATTTTCAAATATATTTTTGCATGCTGAATATAAATTCTTAAATGTTGTATATTTGTGTTATCCTGAAAATTCCCCCTGCTGACGAATTATGAAAGAAACCTAGTTTTTTTTACGAAAACTTAAGAAGAAACACAGAATGGAAACATACCTACACTGTACTTTTGTATTGTTCTCGGTTTAAAATAAATTCCCTTTTAATTTTTATTTTTGAATTATGAGGAACGCTCAAAGTTTGATAAAAAATAATTCTGGTGGTATTGAGAAACTAGTGAGCCGATTTTTGTATAATGTCTGATATGAAACGAATGCGAAATAATTAGAGACTTCATTTTTCAGGGTGCCACACCAAAAAAGCAGGGACATTTGAACTTCAGAAATCAATTGTATGAAATGATTTTTTGGTCGATGTTTTCAATCATTTCTGTAGTTGTTCGATGCTCGTAACGTGCGTAATACACGAGGCATGCTGGAGGCAGTATGTAAGCATCTGCTGTATGCTACCAACAAGGGAAATATCAGGTAAAGTTCAAATTACTTTCTACTGATTGGGTTTTTGTTTATTGGAACATGGCTATCCCAAAATACTTTTGCATGATTTTTGTTCGCGTCGGAGAAACGCATCGTTACGAAACCCTGCTCGGTGTATTTCACCAACGTGTTTATAGGAAAGCTTACGTGCTTACTCGGGTGGGCTCGAACCAACGACCTCGAGCTCGTCCTTACCAGTGCAGAGGCACTACCACTTGCTGGCTCATCCATGGTCTGCTGGCTGGTTCGAGTCTGGAATTTTAATTGAATAGTTTTGCTTCATTACTGTTTCTATTATTTTTTTAAAATGACCAGCTCCCACAAAACCCAGACAAAGTTGACAAATTTTGTAGTCGTTTTAGCATTTTTCAAATTCCTGAGGTTCTTAAAATGATTATTTAGGCACTCCCACCCTATCACCACTGGAGGAAGGATAAAATCCTGACAAGTTATGGGAAATGCATTTTGTGTACATTTCTACGGAGTTTTGTTTCACTAAACCGATCAAAGGAACGCACTTCTGCTAGATAGATTATATTCCTATTTTGGCAGATTGTGCTAAATGGATTATATTCCTATTTTGGCAGGTTGTACATTTATGAACGGTTGATTCAGAAAACCTCAAAAACCTCAAATTGGCCAGTTCCACCCAGAAATGACTTCACATGCCTTTTGTGCGAAACCACTTCCGCTACTTTGTCCGGGTTTTCCTGGGGGCATGCAGGTCTAATCTAATTACATTTTTTAATCGTCACAATGAATCACAATTGGAAACTGACTGAGTTCACTATAAATCAACATGTTGAATCGCACACCTTTGGAACAGGGTTTCAGAGGTCGCAGGTCGATATCCCACTAAGGGGAACTTTGTCTCAACCTATGTTTTCCTTTGTCTTTTGACAGATCGGCAATTACCGTTTTTCCACCGCGTACAGACGGGCAACATGACTATCGCGTGTGGAACACCACACTGATCAAATACGCCGGATACGAGCAAGAAGATGGCACCATCATTGGAGATCCGGCTAGCGTTGAGTTTACAAAGGTAAGCAATTAACCAACATTTCTCATTGGTGTTCCTTTGGTTTTTTTTTAAATTGGACTTAAGTTTGGTCAATTTGTTTGTATATTCCATGGCAGTCTGTTAGTTGTGCGTTTTTTTGTCGGGCTGCCTATATTGCACATTACTTTGGTCAGGTGAGTGAGCAGTTAGTTGGTCCATCTGAAGTGCTCTTTTTCATTTCCTTTGGCAAGTTTCACGAAACTGCTTAGCGCAGACTTTTGCGACACACAGGAATATGTTTTTGCGTATAGACCTTTCTTTACTAAACGGTGCATGGTTTATGACTGACTGGCTGACTGGCTGACTCCCCGAGTCACAGACTGACTGACTCCCCGAGTCTCTGACTGACTCCCCGAGTCTCTGACTGACTGAGTCACCTTTAGTGTCATGAACTATCCCAGCTTGTCTAAGCAATGCCAATCTCAATTTACTCTCTATATCTCATGAATCTCTCAGATTTGTCTGAAGCTAGGCTGGAGGGGCCCCGGAGGAAGGTTTGACATTTTACCGCTCATACTTCAAGCTAATGGCGAGGATCCGGAATGGTTCGATATTCCTGAGGAGTGCGCTATGGAAGTCAAACTTAGTCATCCAGAGTAAGTCAAGACCGATATTAAAACGTCTTTAAAAAAGTCTGAACTCTTGGCTTTTGGTCTTATCTGATTCTTTACTTATTCTTGAGTGAAAGATACATACTAATTATGTGTATGAAATTACGTTTTGTTGCTTAAAAGATAAATACTTTGTGCATGTGGTCAGCAGTGAATTAAACCCATCATCAGGAAACGTCTTTAAAATGCCTTGGAAATCATGTTGCGGTTAATTGGTTCTTAAGAAGTTTTAGAAATAAAATAATATTAGGTTGAGAAGAGAACTTTACTGGAGCGGGTCCAGAACCTGCTACCATCTGGATGTTGCAGGTTCATGTCCACTCGAGCCGATATCTATGCTCAACCTTATACGAGCCTAAACACTCAGCTTGTATTATATGGGCATCGCAGGGCGTTATCTTAATACCTCTGTTTTGCATGACTACATTTTGTGGTATTTTTTTGTTGGCAGGTTCGACTGGTTTGCCGAGTTTGGTCTGAGATGGTATGCCGTGCCAGCCGTCTCGAACATGATGCTAGATGTTGGTGGTCTGGAGTTCACTGCGTGTCCCTTCAATGGATGGTACATGAGTACTGAGATAGGAGCAAGGAATCTGTGTGATACTTACAGATACAATCTGATGGAGGTAAGTTTAGTTGATAAACTCCGCCCTGTGTGATTGTTTTGACCAATCATAGCCGTGATTTATGTCCGACATGAGTGAACGCGCAAAGGACGCGCGCGTTGGAAATGCGTGGAAAGGCACTGGGTATGGGGCATTGCCATAGGGCATTGTCCATGTGCGCAGTGGGCGGGGCCTAATGGATCGGTCGATTGATCGGTCATCTCAAAACAAGTCAAAGTCTGTCATTTAGAGCCAGTCGCGTAACTTATTTGGGTCCAATTTGCAGGGGAAACTTGATTTCACAATTACGTTACGCATTTTAGAAAAGATCCTGCTATCGAAATATCAGGCTCTCTTGGTCTTACAAGTTGCTTATTTCTGGTCAATGATAGGGCGGATCCAGAACCAAATGTTGGGGGGGGGGGGCAAGAGGGCTTGAGTATTTTTTTTCTTCCAAATGGGGAGGTGGATTAAGTATATAGAATCATGCGCTATTTTCACATTGTGATATTTAAACTAAAAGGTGTGTGTAGCTGATGGCTAACAATTATATTTATTTTCTGAATTAAAAAACCATTTAAAATGGGGGGTGGGGTGATGGGGGTGATGCCCACATTGTCCCCCACCTGGATTTGCCAATGGGTCAATCCAGTCAGTAAGCTGCTTTTAATTTCACACATTAAAACAACTGTCATAATCTACCCATTTATTACGAATTTATTTCATCTTTCAGACGACAGCGACAAAGATGGGACTGGACACGACTTCTAACATGACTCTGTGGAAGGACAAGGCACTGGTGGAGACCAACTTGGCCGTATTGCACAGCTTTCAGGTACATGAATGCGAGGGTACCAGGGAAAACAATCCAGAACTTATACAGGATACAAATTGGAATAGTACAAAAGCATGCACGTAACTTCAAGAAAAAGAAGCTTATACGAAATTTCTAACAAAACATCCAGACATCTCCCCCACCCCCTTCCCAAAAAGGGGATAGGTGATTTATCACGAACAAAGTAGGCCTAAGACTTAACGAGAGATAGACACTAACGGGTAAACAGTGCAAAATATTACAGAAGAGAGTAAACAAAGTAAACTTTATGGAGAAATCGTGAAGTTGATAACAAAACAATCATCGAATGTGGTAATAATAATAATAATAATAACAATTAACAACAGTTCTTATATAGCGCATAATACATTCAGTCTGTATGCGTTTGTGAAGTGAACAGGTGAGTTTTAACAAGTTGTTTGAAGTGATCCAAGGCGGGACAGGTTTTTTGATATGGTTAGGGAGTGAAAATCAAGTTTTCACAAGTCATGTGATGATCACAAGTCACATCGCCACTCCAGTCTTAAGTCAAGTCACAAGCTTTTCAAATTAACTTTGACAGGGACATTTCTTAGTCCTTGTTCATCCCTCGTTACCTTTGAAGTTACTTGTAATTTGACTCGTGACTGAGTTGGAATTTGAAATGTGATTGACTTGTGATTCGCTTCATAATGGATTTGTGGTTTACTTGTGATTGACTTGTGGCTGCCTTGTGATTGACTTGTGACTGCCTTGTGACTGCCTTGTGACTGCCTTGTGACTGACTTGTGACTGACTTGTGACTGCCTTGTGATTGACTTGTGACTGCCTTGTGACTGACTTGTGACTGACTTGTGACTGACTTGTGATATAACCCTGAAAGATGGTTATCAGGCAAGTAGAAAAATTTAGGACATTCGTTGTCGAGATGATAGATCGATTACACACTTAGGATTTTTCGTGGTTTTTTTTCTCTTCAGAAAGCTCAAGTGACCATCACGGATCACCATTCAGCCTCGGAATCTTTCATCACACACATGAGGAACGAGCAGGCGACTCGCGGGGGCTGCCCGGCCGACTGGGTGTGGATCGTCCCGCCTATGTCTGGCAGCGTCTGCCCCGTCTTCCACCAAGAAATGTTGTATTATTCACTGAAACCATCCTATGAATATCAGGTATGTGAGTTCACTATCATGACACTTTTTCCCCATTTAAAAAAAAAACACCTGTACACACTGTAAAACTGCGTTGTAACTTTTATATAGTATCTATATAGGACCATAGATGTAAAAGTTTTACACCAATGGTATTATGTATATACCAGCGGTGTAAAATCGACCAACGATTTTTTTTTTGCAGTGTTATCAACCGTCAATTTTAATTCTTCAACGTAATTTTGGTACTTTGCAACATTTTTTACTGATTATTATGACATTGTGGTTGATAATTGGAAAACAAGTTCCCTTTTCCTCAAAGGAGCCAGCTTGGAAAACGCATTTGTGGAGAAATCGACCGGTAGATTCGGGCCAAGTCACATCTAAGAAGACTTTCAAGGAAGTTGCCGAGTAAGACATTTGACACCGTTTATGTTATCATTGGATTAATCTTTACACTACGAATATGGTTTTGAATTTAAGAAACAATGACACTGCACTTGAATTCCCCGAAATGCTTTCACAATTTTTGACCGACCTCTTCCACTGTTCAAGGATTCATAAAAATAAGATACCACACATATGCAAGCTTTATGTTTTGTCAAGAGTTTGAAAACATTTATATATATACTGCCATTTGGTATCTATTTATACCCCTGGTCCACGTGGTATAGTATACATTTGAATAGTTTTGAGTGCAATGGTAAGAACAATATCATGAGGTGACGTATGGAATGTTCCATTCCACGAGGTGAAGCCAAGTGGAATGGAACATTTCATCTATTACCGAATGAAATTATTATTTTCATTGCATGAATGTGAAGCATTCAGTTTTTGTTTTATACGACACCTGAATAAATCCTCGTCATCTGATTGGTCATTGCACGAATGTCAAACATTTATTTTTTGTTTGATACGACGCCTGAATAAATCCTCGTCATCTGATTGGTCATTGCATGAATGTGAAGCATTCAGTTTTTGTTTTATACGACACCTGAATAAATCCTCGTCATCTGATTGGTCATTGCACGAATGTGAAGCATTCAGTTTTTGTTTTATACGACGCCTGAATAAATCCTCGTCATCTGATTGGTCAGAGCCGCCAAAAGTTTGACCGTGCGATTGAAGTTCCGTTTTTGCAGTGCGGTCGCGACGTTCGTTGGGACGAATAATTGAATGACATGTGATCAACGACCCACCAATCAGATGACAGGGGTTTTTCCAGATGTTGTATAAGACCGTATTTGGTATTTTTTTATGACAGAAGTCCCGGACTAGAACAACAACTATTATTTTTATTCACCCCATTATGCAAAGATCCCATCCAATATTATCAGTGAAATAGGCTTCTTATATTTCACATTTTACTTAACTCTTTTCCTCCGTAAAGAGCTGTACGGTTCGTTGCCCGTCTGATGATCCGAGCTTTATCCAAACGATTCAAGGCAACTATACTGTACGCTACGGAGACTGGACGGTCCAAGAACTACGCAGAGAGAATACATCGTATGTTTAGTACTGCCTTCAACGCTAAGGTATTTGTAACTTAAGAAAAATTTATGTTCAAATTTATTTCCTAACTCTATCAAAATAGGAACTTTGAACTATAAGTATAATGCTTTCAAAACTGCAGAAATAAAGCTATGGAACTGTTAGCATAAAAAAATCCATGAAAAAGCCTGATTTTGGAGGAAGTATGCATGTATTCTTGACTATTGATATAAAATCAACGGATCATAAACAGTATATGGAAAATCGAACCATAATATTGTCCAGTCAATCAATAATATAATCATTTCAATAAATAAAACATTTTGTTTGTTCAGGTGGTCAGCTAAATAATCGGTTATTCATCCATTTATTTGACAATTAAAAAAACCCAGCGATTTGGAAATGGATTACTATCAGTATCAATCTTTCTCCTTGTATTCGTCTGTTCCTTAGTTGCTATGCATGGATGAGTACGATGTTGCCAATCTTGAGCATGAGGCTTTACTCCTCGTAGTGGCTAGTACGTTCGGCAATGGAGACCCACCTGACAACGGACTGGTATATTTGAGACCCTATAGTGCGTAGCAGCCATCTTAAAGGGCATCTTGTGTTAAGCAATTCAGTAACACTTAAAGGTTCACTCATTCATATCCTAGCAAACTAAGGTATGCCCTCTAAAATGCTGCTACGTATAAAGTCTATAATCATTCTTGAACAAAAGAGGCTGCTATTTGATGCCGCCATTTGGGGGTATAAATAGACGTAAATGTATTGCTACAACTAAAAATTACACTTTTACATTTCTATATTTTTCTTTAGAATTAGACCTAACTAAAGTTGCTTCAACTAATGGAATATTTGTACTTTGTACTGCGAAAATTGCAACATTAGGCCCTATAGCGCCGTTTTTCAAACAACAAAATTATGGCCTATTGAAATTTTGTAATAGATAATTTAAAAAAAACTATGGTGTTGAATAAACACCACGCATATTGTTTATTAGGACGTGTGGTCTAAGACCGACGCCGTTGGTTAAACACCTTGTTTTCATAGTGTTATGATCTGAATAACACATCAAATCCTACTTTCTGAACAAAGATTATTTTGTTCAACAAGTTAATAAAGGGCCTTTTGAGATTGTATATAGCAACTGTCCTGATGTAATACTGTAACATTTAAACTGATGAAAAAAAGAGGATGAATCTATTTTCCCCCCGACATTTTTCACCCTCAGTCATTTGCTCGATATATCATGGAAAAGGCGAAGGAGGAACAACGTAAGATGGACAGTATTGTCAGGTAAGATGAAAATCATCATCATGGTATATATTGGTTCTTACGGACAATAGTTTACCAGCTAGTTATCAAAACAACACTGTGCTCACAATGGCAGAACAACTCTTACAAAGTCGGATTTATTTTATTGTAAAAAACGTGCTAAGGTTTCTGAGCGTGCCGACAAGGTGATTTCATTATTATTGAGTACATCACCGAATGTTGCCTTTGAAGTTAGCGGTCTGTGGCGGAGATACCGTTTTCGGTCGCTGTTCGTCAAAACATCAGACAGAATGAACAAGATCATCTCTAAATGGGTGTGTTTCATAAAGCCAAGATAAAACAACTAACTCTCCTAAAATGTCAGTAATCATTCCACCCTAATAAATACCTTTTAATCTTAGACGTAACAGCGAGATCGATTGCGAGTCGACCAGTGAGCATCTGTCCTGTGAGAAGTTCTGTGACCAGCCCGTTCGAATCGCGCCCAGGAAAATTCTCCGAATGAACTCCGTGACGTCAATGGACGAACCTACGTACATGCTAAGCAATGTCAGGTAAAACAAAGAAAATGTCAAATAAAGGACAAGGTGTATCAAAACGGAATCTAAAAATAATATGAATTAGAATGTTTAAAATTGTGAACTTGAGCTGGCCTCTGATACTTTATTCGCACCCCAGCAGCCATAGATAACTGTACCAGTGTAATAAAGTACATTTGCACGAGTTTGAGTACGAGTAGGCCTACTTTACCATGAGTTCGAGTACAGATACAATATAATAACTCATCATGAGTGCGAATACTTTGCCATGAGAAGAAGCACTTTGTTATTTTGTTTAGTCTTATCCTGTCTTGTTTTGCTTTGTTTTGTTTTGTTTTTGTTGTTTTGTTTTTATTTTTGTTTGTTGGTTTTGTTTTGGTTTGTTTGTCTGTTTTTCCCCAGTCTTGTATAATCTGCATGTTGTTATGTTTTTACGCCAGCTATTCTTGCCTTTGAAAACTTTTGTCAGGGTTTTAACTGTTAATCCTTTGAATCTAATTATCTTTTTAAGTTTTATTTTTAAGGTGGTCTTTTCATTGAACTTTGTATCTATTTTTAATATATGTTTGTATGTTACATGTACCATTCAAGTTAGGATTGACAGGCTTTCGAGTCACAGTGTTTTGTCATACTTTTGTCAATCCTGGCCAGCTTGAATTGGATTGTTTTGTTTAGTTTTGTTTAGTTTTGTGGATTGCTTGTTGTATCTTGTAATTTGGCCGAATAAATAATAATAATAATAACGAGTACTGTGTTATGAGTATGCGAATACTTTGTTGTGAGTACGAGTACAAGTACTTTGTATGAGTATGATACGAGATGACTATGAGTACCGTGTAATCGAGTACAGCTAACTCAAAACCATACTGCAAACCCCATTTTGCTGCCGTACCAAGGCAGGCTGGAAACGGTTATTTACAGGTACTGAAATATTTGTACACCAACAAAATTTGTTTCAGTACTTAATGCAGATGCTTTGACAATCAGTGGAATTGTGGAAATGGCATTGCTTATGTGCTATAATTTCACAAAATTAGCTTGCAATTTAGAAGCTATCTTGGTGATTACAGCTATTATGATTTCCATCATCTTCGCCCATTTCAGATACGCCGTGTTCGGGCTCGGCTCCTCCGCCTATCCTAACTTCTGCGCCTTCGGCCATGCCGTGGATGAGTTACTGGAGACGCTGGGTGCAGAGCGCCTCCTGGAGATCGGGGAAGGAGATGAACTTGGAGGACAGGAGATTGCCTTCAAAAAATGGGCCCAAGAAACATTCAAGGTTCAGATCAAGATGCGAACAGATTCCATACAACGAATGTGAAGAATATCTTTACACTGATAGTGGCATATGAGCGTAGTCACCTATAGACCTGCACTATCTCTCATTTTGACTTTTTTTTTATGAAAACGGACATCGACTAAAGGAGGATTCGAACCTGCGAACCTCAAAATACCGTATCGGCGCTCTACCAAGCGACTTGAAGGCATATGACCATTTGCATTTTCCCAAAAGTAACCCACTGAATTCTTATCAAAAAGCTCACTTGGATTAAAGATTGTACTGGTACTAAACACCCCGTGACATTATTCCATCTGGCTTGCTGTCATTTACAAGAAATCAAGAAATAGTGATGGTTTCCAACGATCAGTCAATTGACTGATTCTTGGAAATAAGAGTGCTATTGACGAAATCGTGTTTTGTTATCAGAAAGTTGTGCATGATTTTTCACTGTTTTCTCGAAAAAGTGTAATATCTACTTAGCTGAAACTTCAACAGGTTAGGTTTTGAACGTTCATCTTTGGATTTTGAGTGGTGTTATTTATATTGGGAACCAACAAGAAATATGAAAATAAAATTATTCTAATTAAGTCTTCATTCAAGGACTGTTAGCAAGCCAATACATTATTTCTGAGGTCGAAAGTTCGAGTAATGGGGTAATGTGGTCCAGTTGTTACAGTGTTCGACTCGTGTGCCGTGGTACATGGCTTCGAATCCTGACAGGGAAACATGGTGCTTGTGCTCTTGAGCAAGGCACTTTACCATTATTGCTTCGTCTTCGGATGGGACGTAAAGCCGTAGGGCCCATGTGTTGTGTAATGCACGTTAAAGAACCCAGTAACACTTATCGCTAAGAGAAGGGGTTCGCCCCGGTGTTTCTGGCAGTGGCTGCAATATGCGCCACAACAACTTGTAAACCCTTATAAAGGTGCTACTTAATGGGTCTCATATTTTTCATAAACATCATTTACCTGTCTTTAAAAATAGACATAATTACCAGCGCCTTGAGTACCTAATTATTGGTAGATACGTGCGCTATATAAGACCCCGGTATTGTTATTATTATTATTCCCGCTACGGTGATTTTTCTTTGTTCAACCGAAAGTTGATCCGTGAAATGTCGACGTTTTAATACTTGATTGAAGAATTAACAGGTGTCTGTGATGTTTTACATTATTTGCCTTTCCGACGGCTGTTGAATGTTATAAAAAAAAATCCGATTTCCCCTCATTTTCTTCTTTAAATTTAGGTTGCTTGTGAGAACTTCTGCATTGGCAGTGACGTGAACATCGATAACGTAACGGCATCAATCTCCATGCCCGATGCTGCGTGGTCAGCCGAGAAGTACCGAGTCATTGCAGCAGATTACCAGGCCAACCCGCCAGACCTCTGCCGTACACTTAGCCGTTTACACGGCAAGGCGGTTCTGCCGTGCCGCTTCAAATCCAGAACCGATCTTCTGAATTCGTTATCACGGTGAGATTGTGAAAAATCTTTCATTGTTTGTGTGTTGCTTTTTACTTCAAACAAATTTGCACGTGACTATTCGTCCGTATTAGAGCGCTAGATCGTGTATAGTTCGTTTCTTCCAAATTTGGAATGACCATAATATTATTGTTGATCATCGTGACCTGAAGAGATTTCCGATTTCTGAAATTCTTCGAAGTTTGAAAAATAACAAATAGTATTGCACATTACCTTTGTAATTTTAGTGTTTTTTCTGAATTGAAATCTTTGTCCGACTTTCCGTGATACGAAATGTTGAAACAAAACAAACTTTTATATTGTTTTCGTTATTTTCCTTCATCGTACATGTGCAAGCTTAAAATTGCGTGCAAGTTTTCTCCTGGGTTAGCAAACAAAATTTTCAAAGAAAGTGTACCTTGTACCAGGTTCTAACTTTTTGTCTGTTTCGCCTCTGCTAGTCGGTCCACAATCCTCGTCAAACTGGACACCCAGGACCAAGAAGAGTTTGCGTACGAGCCAGGAGATCACGTGGCTATCTATCCAGCCAATGACAAAGACTTGGTGGATCGGATTCTGCGCAGAATCGCTCATGAGAAATCCCCGGATGTGGTAGTGAAAGTGGATCGGCATGAGGCCAAAATCACAGAATTAGGTGAACGAAATGTGCAAATTGAATTGAATAAAGAAAATACCAAAAGAACTAGAGGGTTTGTGAAATATTCTATTCAAATATATAATTCTCAAAAAAAAAACTGTGATGTTTTTATAGATCTACTCTAGGCAGTCAGATTGGCGCAGTATATACTCTCCTTGCTTTTCACCTCAGCTACCCGGGTTCGAATCCAGCCAGGCTGACGTGCATGTATTTTTTGTATCAGTCCATACCTGATATCATAGGTTTTCCTCTAATCAGTCTGGGTTTTACTTTCCTTATATGGTCCAATCACCCCTAAAACTGGACATTTCACAGACCCCATCTTCTTCTCCCTAAGTATCTACAGGCTTCTTCTCGTGCACTGTTTGGGAAACCTCCTTTTCATTACCAGAGCGAATCCTATAAAAACCCAATTATCTCTACCTAGGCACCGTTCGTACTTGGGTCCCTCACGACCGCCTGCCTCATTGCTCTATCCGCTACGCCTTGCTTCATTTACTGGACATCACATCCACGCCCTCGCCGATGTTCTTGAAGACGCTGTCCATGCACGCCAGGAGCCCACTGGAGCAGAAACAACTGTCGACCCTGGGAGAGGTTAGCAACCGTTGCTGTGATCAACACACTTATACATCATGTGACCTGTGATGTCAATACTAAACATGTGACTTGTTACGTCATGCTTATCATGTGACCTATGACGTCACGGTTACTCACTTACATTCCCCATATTTAACATTGACGTGAGCATTTTTAAATACATTGCACTCATACCATCATTTGCACCCATATTTCAAGACGTGTTCAGTGGAAAAGAGATTGGTTTTCCCCCGATAAATGTGGTCACATCACCAAAATATAATAAGTGTCACTGTCATAACATCCCCAAAACATGACTTTTATTAATTCAGTACCCAAGCCGACGCTTTCATTGCTAGGCCATTTTAGATCACGACTGCAAAATAATAACTTCAATCTTATGGGCCTTGTTGGGTGAGTATCTGTATCTGCACTTTTTGTACAACCATAATTGTGAAAAATACTTTAACAATTACTGCAGTGAACTTTTATTACTCACAGTTTGTTTTCTGTTTCTTTCACTGTCTGCTGTGATTTGATTGCCTCGATGTTACTAATTCCCACCACAAAAGCTACTCGAAGAGCACTCGGAACAGCGCACAACTGACAAGGTTATTTGCACATGTCTTGTTTTATTTTCTTAATCCAAAACTCGTGAAATTCGATAAAAATCCTTTTCCCGGAATTTAGAACAAAGTTGGAGGAAGATTGGATAGCCTCAGGTTAGGCTGGTGAGAGTGGGTGGGTTAAGTGGGAGCAGGAATTATGGTCACGAAATTCAAAATAAGTTTCCTTTTTTTCCGGTTGTGGCAAAGGCCATATGTTTGATATTCACTTAGATTAGGTTGATCCTTTTTCTTGACAGAACTAACTTTTGTTAAGATTTGAGGTTTTGCGTGCAAGGAGTGTTTGCCATACCGTCGCGTGAAATGAACTCTCGTGAGATTTGAGGTTCTTTGTGACGTTCTGAGAAGAACCTTGGGACGTGGGACGAGCTGGGTGACGTCAGAGCTTCTGACGTCACTGCTTGTGACCTTATTAACTGCGAATGTCTATTCCCTGATTTGATTGGTGGGTGGTTAGAACACTTTTGAGATTTAGATTCAAATCGGCGATTATTTTGCCAGTGTCTCATGAAATTTGGACTCTTAGAAATCGGGACCTTAGAAATAAGGACCTTATGAAATACGGACTCCTTGGTTGTACTGCGCATGCCTAAGTGAAGATAATTAGAACTGCGACCAGTCAATCATTATAGAGTCCGTTAAGGTAAAGGAGACCAGATTTCTAAGAGTCCAAATTTCATGAGACACTGGCAAAATAATCGCCGATTTGAATCTTGGACCAACTTTCACACCACACCGGCTCAGGCATTTTCACAATCGTCGGCTCCTCTCCAGCTATATAGCTTCACATTAAAGCTCGTGATTTTAGGTTTTTGCTCTTTTAATTGTCGGTGGTATATCTGTCAAGTTTCATTTTGTGCAGAAAATATATCCCATAAAATAGCAAAAAGGAGGAGTCTACCGTTTGTTTTGAACACTAAATGTTTGTATTAATGTTCCGGGGCCACTGACGAAGCCGATTCCGACAACAAAGCCCAAGTTTCAGAAACGGTCCCATAAAAAAAAATAAGTATTTTCGTTCGTTAAACAAAGGGTTCAGCCGTTTACGATGAGTGGCTGTATTCTTCGTTCCCAAACCTGGCCGAGATCTTGGAAGCATTCCCAACGCTGAGGGTACCAGCTTCGCTGCTTCTAACCTTGCTCCCACTACTCAGGCCTCGCTATTACTCCATCAGTTCCAGTCCACAGATGCACCCTGGGGACGTTCACATCACAGTGGCAGTGGTTCAGTACAAGTCAAAAGGCAAGCCTGTTATAGTTTAGGATATTGACATTAACAATCTGATTGGTCGGTTATTAAAGTTTAATCTCTCTCTGATTGGTGCAAAGTTTACAAGTGGCACCGTGGCACGATTATAATAAATTCGAGCCTTATTACTTTCTCTGTTGTTTTTGAACTTTTAACCTATGCAAACCAAACATTGGCCGCAGTAACCATTTGGTTGGCTAGTTTTGGCTTTGGTTTGGCTTTTTTTTTTATTTGGCATAATTATTTTGCAAATGAAAATGTATTGTTTTTTTCCCCGTCATTTTAGCCTTCTTAATTAACTCAGATTTAAAGTGCTGTAACTTTAAGTTGTACGTTGTAATGTTTTTGTTAAAATAATGATTACAAAAAAAAGTCGCATAAAATGTTCAATTTAAGTGCAGTCAATTAAAGAATTAAAAGTTGAAATGTAAGAAATAATAACGACATTTGTTGTAAAAGATTGAATCTGATTGCATTGCAGCTAGCGGCGCCATACATCGAGGAGTTTGCTCAACTTGGCTGGATGCCCTGTCTGCTGACGACATCGTACCTGCCTTCATAAGGAAGTAAGTCACTCACACAAGTCCGCGCTCGACAATTCTGGAAATTCACACTTAAAAGTTTTGTAGAATGGAATACTACGTTGATGTAAGCGTCTTTTTAAACCGGGTAACAATGATTTTTTTATGTGGACATGCGTATATCCAAAAGTTGCTTTTCATGCTTTTTGTTCGTTTCCAATGGTAACACCACTCAAAATCCAAAGGAGAATGACAAAACCTAACCTGTTGAAATTTCAGTTCAGTGGATATTACACTTTTCAAGCAAACTCATGCCCACTTTTTGATCACGCCACAATTTCTTCAAAATAAAAATCAGTCAATTAGCTGATGGTTGGAAGTCACCATTTCTTGATCTCATCGCAATGGCAGCAAGCCAGACAATATAATTTCACCGGGTGTTTAGCATCTGAACGATCTTTCAGCCAAGTAGCATTTTTGATAAGATTTGGTAGGTGGTTTGGGGATGAATGCATGATACTATAGCCTGAATGCCGTAAACCACACATTTTGTACTTAAATGTAAGAATTTCTGTTGGGACACTCATTGATAAAGCGTTGTGTTTTAATTTTTTTTTACCTTTTTGTATCAGAGCGCCCTCATTCCACATGCCAAAGGACCAATCAGCGCCCATGGTTCTCGTTGGTCCCGGGACGGGCATCGCGCCGTTTCGCAGCTTCTGGCAACAGCGGCAGTACGACAGGTACCAGGAAGCTATCGACCAATCGGACGCCGACAAGGACGGCCGATTCGGTGACGTCACGCTGGTGTTCGGATGTAGACATTCCAAGCTAGACAACATCTACAAGGAGGAGAAGATGACGGCTAAGGAAGAAGGCGTCCTCACTGACGTCTGGACAGCGTATTCGCGGGAAGTCCATCTACCTAAAGTAAGTCTTGTAACTTTTTGTTTTATCTATATGGCACATCATTAACATCAATTCGAAATTGATATAAAAATCAATTAACCTTTTGTAGTTTACAATATTTTTCATTGACGCATTTGTTCGCCATTAATTGGACGCTTCCATGCCTGAGCTTTGGATTCAGAAATTTCTCATTTGATTTCAGACTTATGTTCAAGACCTCCTTCGCAAGAACTCACAGAAAGTATACGAGACGGTTTGTGGAGGCAAGGGTCACGTCTACGTATGCGGGGATGTAACTATGGCTGCTGGTGTACGCGTTACCATAGAAACCATCATCGCTAAGCACGGAGAGATGTCGGAAGAAAAAGCTAAGAAACTGATCGAACGCCTCAAGGTATGAATATCCGTTTTATAAAATCTTTTACCATGGAGAACAACAACTTTTAGAGGTAACAAATACATAAACTGTATCGACACATTGCATTGGTAAACCGTACCTTCAAACGTGACCGAGTAATAATCGACTCCAAAATATTATCGTTTTCCTGTGTGTTCGATAATAGGATGAGAATCGATACCACGAGGACATCTTTGGCATCACTCTGAGGACTGCGGAAGCCACAGAGAAACTGCGAGAATTGAAACAACGCACCGAGAAAAACGACAAAACTGCGGCCGAGGAACTAGCTTCACTACGCATGGTACGTCAGAAACCGAACTTTTAGGACTTACACCAGAGAAGTTGGCCCTGATATAACTCACACCCTCATCATGTCCTCTACCTGCAGCTAACGACCTTTGTTTAGAGGTCCTGCCAAACTAAATCGGTCGATAGTCGGAATGGCATCTTAGATATCACTTGTTCAGGGTAATAGTTCTGGAGAACGGTGTTCAAGTCACTGTTCAAATGTTAGATTTTTGTCTTTTCGTGAAAGAGAAAATGCCCCAGAAGGATCTTTTGATTTCAGGAAATTGTATGCACAAAACTCTTGTTGAGTAAATTTTAAAAGCCTGTATAAAATAAATACGGAGACAAGAAACATAGGGGAGTGCTTAGGCACACGAACATGTCAACTTGGAAATCCCAGATGTTGTAAAATGTTCAAGTAATTTTGGTTTTGTTTGCTTTTTATTTTATTTACTTGTAGGGGTATTTCCTGAGGCGAGAGACGGTCATCAGACACCGAACAGTGAGCGAAAATCCAGAGACGTCTGTAAATGGCTCGAATCTTAACAACAATGGACGGGAGCGAAAGCTATCCGATCCACCTCCATATAGGTAGTTATAATTGTCACGATCTTCCCAAACGACGCTGTCAAAAATTGCCGTATGATATCAAGTTAGAAATTCTGTGGTTTTAATCGGAACCAATAGTCCTGTGAAGATGACATTAGGGCCTATATGGTGTAGCTATTCGTAAGATGAATCTTCGTCGGAGTGATGCATATCAATATTAGGTTTTGTCCTATTTTTATCCGGACAAGAACAAATATTATTATTATTACAGTATAGTAACACTTTGGCATATATGGTGTAGATTTAACACTGTACTGTTTGCAGTGTAATTATTGATAATTGGTAAAGATAATATTCAACGGATCACATTTTTTTCTAAGTCAAAGTGTTACTATAATGTAATAATAATAATAATATTTTTTGGTGTCCGGAAAAAAATCCCATGAAGAATTTTGTATCAAATTAATTAAACAAAATATAGTTTTGCTACTGTTCATTATCTTATTGTTTTTATTGTTATATTTTGTCCTTTTTAAATTTTTGTTGGTGGTCTTTGTATTTACTGATGAGTAATTGTTTTCATATCCTTTTGTGTTTTACAGAAGTCGTCCTCTGCACACTTACTAAGAAGAAAAAGACTAGTACAGAGATCACTTCACATGTCCCCCCCCAAAAAAAAAATGGAACAAGGCTGAAGATTCAAGATATCAAATATGATAATGTTATTCTCTGCTTATCAACTTAGCTCTGCACTTCTTAATACTGTTAAATACTGAAAAATATACCAAAAGCCGGAAATGTATTAACGGCCTAAAGCAATGCTGCCTTTAGTTTTATTATGGATTAATTTTCGGCTTGCGAGGTATACTCCTCCACAGTAAATCATGTTTATTTAATTATTGTTATTTTTGAAATACTATATTTTTAACGGGCAGGGCAGTTATTTGTGTCAATATGAGCTTGTATCGCAGATGGTTTGAGGACTATGTCATAATTCCTTCCTCCATGTTTTTATGCAGTTAAAATGTTTCCCGGGATCACGTTTGAGTTATTGTTTAAAAGCTCCGGACTATTTTGTCTATTTTTATTAAGGCCAAAAACAAAAGTCCCCGGTTTCTGGTATGGAGCTTGCCCAAAAAGTGGTGCGGCGACGCGGCTTTTTTTTTTTTACCTGTTTTTTTTTTGCTTCAAATGTCGGCTGAGGACTGCAATTGGTGCCGGACTAAACTTAGTGAAAATATATGGGAGTCCAGAGAGGCCACATAAAGCTTATTCTCGATCATATCCCCATCTAAAAACACGTTAAAATTGTGCAGCAGCAGGATTCCAGTCAAACCAGTGAGTTTGGCAGTTTTGAGAAATCATCTTTTATTGAAAAAAAAAACTTTTTCATTTTGCCGACGCGCATATGGCTACGGCGACGCGCGCGCATACCAGAAACCGGAGACTTATTTTTTTTTGGTCTAAGAGTTAATTTTTTGTTTAATCTAGTATTCTCATTCTGAAGTGTTGTTTTGCTTTAATTGGTTTAATTTAAATAACTACCGCATTGTAATCTATCTTGCACTGTTGAACTATAATGTACATAATGGAAACATGAGAAATTATTTTGGTTAATTAAGTATCCATGAAACGCAAGACGATTTCGCGATTTGGCTAAAAATTCTCCCTCCTTGTGCTCATTAATGCATTAATTATCCGGCTCTCTCCTGACGAGAATTCAGTTATATGTTTTGATTTAACAAAAAAATTGTTTTCCTATTTTGGAGCTTCTGGAACACTCGGATGAAAAAAATTAAACATAATGATTGTTGGGATTGCTTTTATGCCCCTAACACGTACAACAAAAAACGAGCCTATTGGCGGACTGTAAATCATTCGAAGTTTGCAAAAAGACCGAATTTTCAGTTTATATTATTTTGTTCTAAGGAAATATTATTTTATTCCAATTTTGGGCGTCGGCAACCCTCTGAAAAGGACTTTCATTTTGTGCACTATTTTGTGCGAGAGGCATAATAATATTGTCGTGCCGAAAACAAGTCTAATTTTGTAAAGGAACTATTCAATGACTAAACGTCGCGGAACATTTTGGTTTGATGTCTCATTTAAAAGGTGCCTTACTTTTAAATTGCTATATGAAAAACATAAATCTGTTTTCGGGGTTAAACTCGAAATAGATCGAGGAATGTAACTTTAATTTATGAAACAAACGGGCTTCATTCCTGAAAACGGAGAATAATTATACCCTCCCTATTTTTAGCAATGGATGATCACGATAAGACTTGCCCCCCACCCACCCCCCCCCCACCCCACGGGTTCCCTTACGCTGTATGTATGTTGTGTTGTTATTGTTTATAAACTATTAATTATTATCGATGAACAGTTTACAATTTTTTCTCTGCTTCCATGCAACTTGTAAATGTTTTCCATTGTGTGTACATGTATACCATGGTTTAAAAGGATATGATTTAGCAATAAAAGATTATTCTTTGGCTGAAAACAGGTATTTCAAATATAATTCCCCCCGTAAAACTGTCCATGCAACGTCTTCCGGGGCTGGCCGGGGGGGGGGGGGTACTCTTCTCAATTTGTGGTTATATGATGTCCATGCCCAGCTCTGGGCATTACCAATGTGACTTCAGCTTTTGGGTACATTTCTTGCCCTAAAAAGTAACACAACCCACCCCCCCCCACCCCCATTTTCATTCACAAACGTATAATTCTCCCTCCTCTGTAGGATGGGAAAATCCGTTTTGCTAAATAACTCCGACATTTTGCGGTCAAAACATTTCTTTCAATGGATAGGGGTTCAGGGTTACAGCTACGGTGAGCTGTAGATGATTTAAACCGAGTGTTTTATAGCTCCATATGGTGATAGGCTCTGCACTGACTCACTCAACAGCGCCCCCTATAGCCAAATAGAGATAAATAGATGCAGAGGGCGCCCTTCGCCTTTTTGGCGAAGGAAACGTAATTCGTTGGTTCACTGCAAATGGCACGTTTTGGGTACGTATAATGTAGTGGTTACCAACGATGTAAACAGGCAAGTTTCCTTGGAGATCGTAACTCGGGAAGGTAGTTTGTTTTGTTTTTAAAGGTAAGATTTATATTTTATTTCCAGAATAAATTCTCAATTATACTAGCTAACGTTAACAAAATGAAGGCAATTTAATAAAGTTGTATAAATTCACTTAAAAGTAAATTTGTATCACATTTTGGCGCTAATTTGCGTCGGCCTAGGCCCTAGCGAAAAGTCGGGTTGTCATTTAATCAATATTCACATTGCATCGAAATCGTGAAAAATTGGTCATGTGCATTTTTAATAAACATGTTGACAAGACAGGAACTAAATAATAGTGTCATCTTTATTACGACACAGTCTTGTACTGTCACTAGTATTAATGCCAAACACGGACACCATGACCCTTAAATACATCTTAATTAGCTCTACTGAGTGGAGCGTTGAATTACGGGTACCCCTCCATACAAACGCTCCACCGATTTGCCATACTTTGGTAGCACCATACACGGTCGTCATGACGGTATGCATTTTGTGCATGCCCTCGCGAGGACAAGGCCCAAAAAAACTGATAAAGAAAATTCAAATGAGGAAGACAGTAACCCTGGATAGATCCACACATTCATGACATTCCATATGACCCCTCAAATTGTTTCAAACGAATTGTCGGACACTTCGCCCCATTTCCACGTCGCCCCATGTCACTTCGCCCCTAACCACTTCGCCCCATCCCCACATCGCCCCATTCCCACATCGCCCCATCCCCACTTCGCCCCATTCCCACTTCGCCCCATTCCCACTTCGCCCCATCCCCACTTCGCCCCATCCCCACTTCGCCCCAGCCGTTACATGTAAAAAAAAAAAAAAATTCTCATCTATTTTTTTGGCTTAAAAAAAACAATTTCAATAGATTCACTAATTGCTAACCAATGGAAAGAATTAGCCCATCACCAAATGAACAATTCATAACCAACCTCTCAAGCTAGGCTCTCCCCTACCGAGAAGCTTGAAGTAAAAGACCCAACTTTGTTCCCAACCCCGGCGGCTATACCAACCCGTCTCCCACTTATCTGAGAACGACAATACCTTTGACATCCTAATTTCACTCTTGGAGGAACCAATCTCATCAATGAAGTTGTAAGTGTCACATATCAGACAAATTTTGACGGAACATTTTCCTCAAGGCAGTGAGTTCCTTTTAACTCACTGACCCATACCTACATGTGGGTCATTCCATGTCAGACCAACGCACTTTTTTACCTCATGTCTTCCGATTTTAATAAAAATTGCTGTGCTTGTAGGTCCTAATGAGCAATGAATGCACACCAATTTTTAGCCCGATCCGACCTACCATGTGGTCAGGGCAGAAGCCACAAAAAAATGGCATTTTTAGAGTAAAATACCACCCTTTTGGTATAAATATGTCAAAACTATTGCAATTTTCATTGAATATATGTGAATTTGGTATTAAAATAATGAGGATTGCATGCTCAAATCACTTCTTTTGTCAAAATTAAATTTTGTGAAAAGTAGGTCACGTGACCTTTAATATGCTATTGTGACCTTTGACCCAATTTTTGTAATAATGTATCATTCCGAAAATCAACGAAATAAAAAAAACTTGCTAGAGCATGTCTTCCTCTATCAGAATCTACTAAAAATCAGTTGGGGTCTTCAAAATTTACAACTTTATGACTATTTTTGTACAGTTGGTAGGTTACAAATGAGTCAATTTATAGACTTTACATAAGAAATACACCAACACAACTTACTATTCTGTTTCTTAAGTTACTGAAATTAATCTAGATTTTTATGTATAAAGTACAAAGCCAGGAAAAACAAAATTCTACCTTCTGATTCCAAAGAAACTGTCTAATCAGAATATTTGGACTCGGAAGTGTGCTAACCACTAACAGTAACCAGGCCTTCACCCAGTACAGCGCACTCACGTCCAGGTGAATTTCATCTCAAAGGAACAAAATGCCAAGTCTGTGAGAGTCATTAAAGTTCAAGAAGCACAGTGATGAATGAGTAAAGGTTACTTTGATTGTAATATTAAGTATTATCTTCAAGCAAACTTGAATCCTAGACCCTGATTAGTCCATCTATAGCAACAACTGTGTGATTTTATATAATATTGCACAGCTGTATTGCACCCCAGATATTAAAAATGTACGTGTACATATGTTGTGTTATTTCCTGCTGAACGGACCGATACACTACATGTATGCACGTACATCTTCACCGCGTGTACGCATTTGATATCAAGTTTGCTTGAAGATAAATTGGTTATAAATCCCACTTGCGCACGTGGAACACGGAATTATGTAGTGCATCGAGTGGCATATGGGTCACGGCAGCATTGCATTATTTCATATTCCAAGCGCGTTCGTGGGATAACTAATTATCAGTGGCACCCAGGAGGGGGGGGGGGGGGCTTGAACCCACCCCCAACATTGTCAATTTGTTTGTTTGATTTTAGGCTAGTTTTGTTGGTCCAATCTTTTACAGAAATTTGAACAAAAAAAAATTTTATGACGCCCCCCCCCCCCCCCCACCAAAAGCCAAATCCTGGGTGCGCCACTGCTGATAATTTACACTATGAGTCTGGTTAGACCTCATCAGCCCTCAGAATGAGAAATTCACAAACCAAGATATATTTTAGAAACTTTAGAAACAGAATAGTAAGTTGTGTTGGTGTATTTCTTATGTAAAGTCTATAAATTGACTCATTTGTAACCTACCAACTGTACAAAAATAGTCATAAAGTTGTAAATTTTGAAGCCCCCAACTGATTTTTAGTAGATTCTGATAGAGGAAGACATGCTCTAGCAAGTTATTTTTATTTCGTTGATTTTCGGAATGATACATTATTACAAAAAATGGGTCAAAGGTCACGATAGCATATGAAAGGTCATGTGACCTACTTTTCACAAAATTTAATTTTGACAAAAGAAGTGCTTTGAGCATGCAATCCTCATTATTTTAATACCAAATTCACATATATTCGATGAAAATTGCCATAGTTTTGACATATTTATACCAAAAGGGTGGTATTTTACTCTAAAAATGTCAGTTTTTTTGTGGTTTCTGCCCTGACCACATGGTAGTTCGGATCGGGCTAAAAATTGGTGTGCATTCATTGCTCATCAGGACCTACAAGCACAGCAATTTTTATCAAAATCGGAAGACATGAGGTAAAAAAGTGCGTTGGTCTGACATGGAATGACCCATGTACGGGATTCTTTTGAATCCAGCGGCTGATGATTGTATTCACAAGCCAATAGGAGAGGCGTCTCTGAATGGGATAGAGCCATCATTTCTCTCATCTGTGTCTCGAGCACCTCATCAGAGCGTTTGTATTTTTCCTGAGTTTCTAGAATTGGGAGCATTTATTATCTGGGGTCTTTGGCAGTTTATTTGGTCTGCACCCCTAGCCTTCACCTTTTTCATACTACATGGGGCGAAGTGGGGATGGGGCGAAGTGGGGATGGGGCGAAGCGGGGAAGGGGCGAAGTGGGGATGGGGCGAGGCGGAGATGGGGCGATGTGGGGATGGGGCGAAGTGGGGATGGGGCGAAGTGGGGATGGGGCGAAGTGGTTAGGGGCGAAGTGACATGGGGCGACGTGGAAATGGGGCGAAGCGTCCGACACCCGTTTCAAACAACCGGTAATTTTGAAAAAAGAACAAAATAGTCTGAACTTACCGCTCACAATTAAATGTGTCTGCCGAGTTGCACAGTCTATTTCACTGACATGACTGATGCATAATTCATTGCGCGCGTGTGTGACGTCACTATTGAAGAAAAACAAGTTGCGCTTACTCAATAGCTGTTTTATGTAGTCATATGTGCCCCGCGCCGTCTGACTGTGGGTTTTTGGTGCGGGTCACATATCAGTAGGATGGAACGCCGTATTATCGCGGTACTTATCACGTTTCTCGTTCGGAATAGAGATTGCCCACCAACCTTCCTGAATTGTCATGTCTTTTGTGCTGTATAACTCTTCCTTTTTAAATTAATATAAAAAAATCTGACGGTGGTGTGCTTTATTCCGTGTACGATGCCTGTGAAAATAGACATGCGCGGCATGTGCGAACGGAGGTGGACTCCCTATTATCGCGGTATGCGGGAAGTGGTTTTTATAATGATCCCAACTTTTTTGTTCATAGTTTATGTTTGACCAAAACATCCCCTGAATAAAGTCTGATATTTTCCCTGTAACGTGCAAGTTGATTACAGACTATATTTCTGCAGGATGATTTCTTAAGACCCTGCCCTTCCCCCGAAAGGAGAACACAAATCCCTGAGGCAAGTCTACTGATCGGCGATTGAGGGCGCCATTCACTTTACACGGTGTGCCGTTTTATTTTCGCTAAGGCGCGGTGCTTATTTTGATCCCGTAAAAGTTGTTACGATTTCGCGCTGCAAATATCGTCCTTCGACTTCATTTTACATTTGGAGCTGAAGAATGGGAACCAGACAATGGAACTTTCATGGACAGAGCACAATTAAAGATTTATGTTAAAATATAAACGGTTCCTTTTAGCAGACACGGTGAGGGAAAATTTTGCCAGTTTTGAAAAACGTTAATATTTATTAAGATCGTTAAAAGTCCCGAAAGACACAACAATTTTTAATCGTCCTTTTTATACAACTCGGTAGAAAATCCTTGATGACTGGTGAACTGGATAAAAATCGCCACTTGAAGGAGTTTTGACAACGCAAAAAGAGAAATTTCCCATGCCGCGATAATAGGGATGCCGCGATAATAGGGAGTCCGACTTTACATGAAACAGTCATTGATTAAGCGCGACTTGTTTTTCTTCAATAGTGACGTCACACACGCGCGCAATGAATTATGCATCAGTCATGTCAGTGAAATAGACTGTGCAACTCGGCAGACACATTTAATTGTGAGCGGTAAGTTCAGACTATTTTGTTCTTTTTTCAAAATTACCGGTTGTTTGAAACAATTTGAGGGGTCATATGGAATGTCATGAATGTGTGGATCTATCCAGGGTTACTGTCTTCCTCATTTGAATTTTCTTTATCAGTTTTTTTGGGCCTTGTCCTCGCGAGGGCATGCACAAAATGCATACCGTCATGACGACCGTGTATGGTGCTACCAAAGTATGGCAAATCGGTGGAGCGTTTGTATGGAGGGGTACCCGTAATTCAACGCTCCACTCAGTAGAGCTACATCTTAATAATATTTAGGGCCTAATATCATGTTCAAAATTAGCTCTACTGAGCTGAGTGGAGCGTTGAATTACGGGTACCCCTCCATACAAACGCTCCACCGATTTGGCATACTTTGGTGACGGCTTTACAGTAGCATAGTCACATACCCACGCGAGGACAAAAAGACCCCCAAAAAATCCGGTAAAGAAAATACAAATGAGAGAGACAGTTACCCTGGATTGATCTACACATTCATGACATTCCATCAGACCCCTTACATTGTTCCCAAACAGCGAAAATTTTGAAGAAAAACAGCAAAATATTCTGAAAACTTACAGCTCAATGTGTTCGCCGTGAAGCTCAATCCTTGCACCGACTTGCCGAATGAGGGCGTCTGACGTGACGTCACCGTCGTTGCTCGATTGAAGAAAAACAAATAGCGCTTTATCAACGACTGTTTTGTGTAATAATACGTGCTCCAATCCGCGCCGTACGACAGTATGGGCTTTGAACACACGCAAGGTGGAGACGGCTGAAACGTACACGTTCTAAAACAAATTAATGACGACAGATACCCACATGAAACTTGTATCAAAGAACTACTAATACTGACAAAAGAAAATCCCATTGTTATTACGTTTCAGCCGTCTCCACCTTGCGTGTGTTCAAAGCCCATACTGTCGTATGGCGCGGATTGGAGCACGTATTATTTCACGAAACAGTCGTTGATAAAGCGCGATTTGTTTTTCTTCGATCGAGCAACGACGGTGACGTCACGTCAGATGCCCTCATTCGGCAAGTCGGTGCAAGGATTGAGCTTCACGGTGAACACATTGAGCTGTAAGTTTTCAGACTATTTTGCTGTTTTTCTTCAAAATGTTCGCTGTTTGGGAACAATGTAAGGGGTCTGATGGAATGTCATGAATGTGTAGATCAATGTGGAGAAGCCAGTAGGTTCTTTCATAGGTAAATTTGCTAAATATTTTGCGTGATTTTTAGAAATTGTTACATTGACAATAGTTCCTTAGTGGGTCGCTAGTACGAAAGACCAACATCCCAAATGTCAAAAAAGGAGTTCTAGCGACCCAGGTAGTTGGACTAATTTAGGCCTATGCTAGGGGGCTACCAAACATGCCAAATTTGCTAACTAGGCCTAGGCCTACATGTGTAACTTGCATTTCTTGAAGTTTTACAGTCACTTTGCCGAATTTCCACTTCACCAACAACCACTTCGCCTATTTTGCCACTTCGCCGAATTACCACTTTACCCATTTGCCTTTGCCCACGTACTACGTACTCGCACGCACATCCACACGCACGTACATAGTACATGGCAGAGGCCATGAAATTTGGGGGGTTATTTGGCTCCACTAAAATGGTCCTATTCCCCTATTATCCAAACCAAAATGAGATGCCTTTACTACTAAGTGCCTTTAGGCCTAACTGGAATTTCACCGAAACTGAAATTTCATCAAGTTCTAGACACTCCCTTTCATAAATCGTGAGTTTATCTACCCATTTCAAAGTTAACAGAGACATTTATTTCAGCGTGATTTTCCGATTTTATTTCGAAGTGTACTGCGTAAACCTTTGAAAATACCCCCTAAAAATAAGAAAATAATTTTCTGACAAACTAGTAGTTGGGTATGTAAGTAGAGATAATAATGGTTTATGAGAATTTATCAACTTGAAAGAAATTCTTAAATGTTAAGTTGGAATTTTCTAAGATTTAGTGCACGGATACGTGTACATGCGTGCATAAAACATGCGAGCATTCGGCAAAGTGGTAATTTGGCGAAGTGGTAATTAGGTGAAGTGGCAATTCGGCCACTATGTGACGTGGTTTGTCATTAGGAGATCCTGGTCGACGTCCAGACCTATGAGCGTTTTCAATTTCTGGTGAGAGATCACATTTCTCGGAGAGACAAATATGCGAAGTGGTTGTCGGCAAAGTGGAAATTCAGCAAAGTGACCGACACCCTTCTTGAACTATGAAGAAGTTTTTGATTCATGATTTATTTAATGCTGAATACAGATACTGCATAACATAGTGTCATGGCTGACCAAGAAGAACAACCCTCATCTGAAGGGATGAAGGCCGAAGAGGTTGCAGATGACAACACCGCAAACCAAGATGAACAACAGGAGACGGAGCAAGCAGTTGATGCTACGACAGAAGAGGAAACAAACAGAAATGAGCAGCCAACAGGAGATGCACAAGATGAGCAAGAAGAAACAAAAGATGAGGAAGCTACGGATGATGCTGGGAAGGAGCAGACAGAAGAAGATGCGGTCCTTGAGAAAGGGGAGGAGGAGGGGGAAGATCCATCTCAAGATGCGATAGAAGATGGAGAGAAGGAAGATGAACCATCTGAGGAGCAAGTTAATGAAGATGATAAAAGGGAAGACCGTGAGCAGTCACCGGCCCAGATGGCAGAGGATGATGGGGAGGAGCCACAGGCCGTAGCCCCGCCCCCGACAGCAGAGGCGGGTTCATCATCACCCCAGCTGATGAGAGAAGCAACAGAGGAGCCAATCCAGGAAGAAACCACCAATGGTCCCTCGGCAGACTCCACAGCAGAACCCTCATCAGACCAGGGTGGGGAAACCGTCAAACCATCAACGCCTGTAGACAAACCATCTGACACAACCCCTGTCGCGGACAGACCCAGCACAGCCAGTTCAGCAACTTCCAATGTCGAAGTCTCTACCAATGCCTTGGTGAGTCTTTTCATTCTCTATACCTCAACTTTTGAATAGGATATTTTTTCATCGTGACATCAAGAAAATAAGTGAGAAGCAAAAACTCAAAATTTGAAGTAGCAGAAAACCTGTGTCTAACTAAAACTTTGATAAATGTTTATTTATTTTTTTTTTGTTTGGATTTAGAAGTGGCTTAAAAACTGTACCAATAGGTCTCTCTCTAATGACGTAATTTCCTACAGACCAGCCATGTGCATCGGTATTTTGATTGGCAACTTGCATAATGCACATTGGCTGCGTTGAATTTCACACACATTTCGAGCAACAAGCGCGTGTTTGGAACATTTTCAACACTGCGCAATGCGTGCGTGATTGCGTAGTTCCAGTTCTCTTACAGAGAAGGCCATCTTTGAGAGAGACCTACACTGAAAAATGTTGGCACATGCACATTTGTAGATTCCCTCAATTTATGTTTAGTCAATTGGAGTCAATGTTTTACTCTAGTTTACAGAATTCAAATTTAGGATAGAAATTAAAATTGTAACATCTTAAAAATGAGAGAATAGACCGATCCACTGCATTTACAAAATGTAGAACATGCATGCACTCACAATGATGTATGCAGTGTGGCGTTGAAGGAAAGTGTCTGTTGTTGCCAATGTACAATGGGCGGGGCCTAATGCATTGGTCTATACATGTAGGAAGGCGCGGACATCCAGGAATTTTTTACTTTGGCTCATCTAGCTCCCAGACCTATGTTCTTGAAACTCATGGTTCTTGAACCTGGAGTGCTGAATGGTAACACATAGCAACCGATGAAAACTGATGACGTCACTCCACCCCCGATATATTCCTAAATAACTTTCAGTGTACTGGGGAAAAACAAATTAATTTCCTTGACGTATTATTCATGAACTATGTATTATTTTGAACCGATTTTCAGAGTTTAACGTGGTCGTTTGGTGTCAACAAGACCGTCCCCACCATTAATCTGACCAATCAGCTTCGCCGGATGTGCGTCTATACCACGGGTCACACTGCAGTGCTCTACAACTATGAAAAGAACACTCAAAAGTTGCTGCAGGGACATGTAAGTTGAACTTCTCTTTGTGAAAAGTAAGAGCCAACATCCACAAACGGGTATCTGAATAGCTATTCATATCAAAAAATTGTTTAATTGATCAGAGATTAGGGTACAAAAGCATTTCATTAATACTTTTGTCTTCAATCTGTAAAATTCAGTTTTATTTGAAATTGCAGTGCTTCTTTGCAGTACTAAGACCTTAAAGAGATCAAAACGCATTTAAAAACAAACAAAAAAGAAGCCACATAATATAGCTGTATGGGCTCTGTGCGCCAACAAAAGAGGGCGCCCTTTTACCTAGCAACGACGTACCATGGGCGGGACACATATGTTTCGCTGGTTGACGTGCGTGCACTGTTCCTTGTGTGTGACGCACGTACACCAGGGGCCGGGGATTTGTACTATGTACATGCAGTGGCTGTGCTAGCGCTTCGCGGCAAAATATTGCAGTCAGGCAAGATGGTGTCGCTCGGTCACCCCCAACTGTACTTTCTTTGCCGGTGAGGGGGTACTTGTGAACGGAGCAGATATAAGACAACCGGATGTCTGTTTGCTTGACAAATCTTCGTTTTTTTATGGTCATGTTTCCTGCATTTAATTGTTCTGAATGCAATTGCTTTTAACCCAACGGTGGATGTACCCTTCTAAAAAGTGTTGTCCTTGTGTCCTTCAGCAAGACATTTTACTCTAAGGACTTGTATATTTTGTCTTTAATTCTTATTATTTTATTTTTGTAGAGCAACAACATCACCTGCACCTGCGCCAGTCGAGACAAACGTTGGATAGCTACGGCGGACAAAGGACCTAACAGCATGGTCATAGTGTGGGATACTTACACAGGGTACGTTATCACAACAAAAAGAGGCCACAGAAATAATGGCCTATGCCAATGGCCTATGCATCGTTCTCATGTTACTGTGCCAACATCTAACATTGGAAAGAATGTTGCAACAGACGCCACTTTTGTCTTCATCTATCATCTCAATGAAGCTCAGACATTGCCAAAATGTTGATAAGACACAAATCTGGGACTGAGAAACGTTTCCAGTTTTGTTAAAAAATACTTTGAAAATGCACTTGACTCTCTATAGACTTTGTACACAACCAAAGAAGTGGCGTCTGGATACTACATTCGTTCCCCAACATTATATGATAACAATTTTAAGCCATCCATATTTCAAGAGATATACATGCAGTGCAGGAAAAAAAAAATGAGTTTGCTGATAAATCCGCGTCACATGACCATAACATCCCAAACAGGTGTAGTATGGTCAATATAATGTATAATCTATGATCATCTTTTTTTGCAGTTATTTTTTTTTCTTTTTGATCTTCCATGTTTTCTTTCTTTGATATTTGTTTTTTTCCTTTTCTGTAGGACCCCTGTCCAGACCATCTTTGAAGCTCATGAGAATGGTGTGGTTGCTATGGCAATGACCCCTGATGCCAAGTACCTTGTTACCATGGGAACCATCCCCGACCAGGTATGAGCTCTGATCTGATCTTACGAGTCATGTTGCCATGTGACTGGATACCTTCATTCAAACAATTTTTTTCCCCCGTAGTTTAGTCCCATGATTCTTCATCTAGCTTTATCTTAATAAAAAAGGGCTTTATTTTGTATAGCAAACATTCCATCGATACCCCCAAACAAATCTCCATTTACATCCTCAATAACCTCAAGCTTTTCTCAAAATTAAAAATGTTGAATTCCCAAAAATGTCCTGATATTTTTACCAGAATTTTGTAAACATGTTCAAAGTTTCTTAAAAATTAAATCCTCAAAAATGAAGAAGTACAAAGTTTTAGCTATGTACCAAGGGCCAAGTTCGGGCAAGGACCATTGGTCGACCAGTGGTTGATTTGTGACGTACCTTACGCCTGCGCACTGATAGCAACGTGTGAATGTCTCTAGTCAAACGCCGGTCAAAATGTCGTCGCAAAACGTCTGGATCCTGGCTCTCTGCTAGCGTTATGAATGCGCGCGGCTATTGGTTACCAGCGAAGCAACCAACCCCAGTAGGGTAGTTCCAAATAGTCGACTAGCGTAGTCAACCACCGTCGACTAGACAGAGTTCGGGCAAACGTTAGTTAACCATTGGTCAACTATAGTCCTTGCGCGAACTTGGCCCAGGTCTTTGCCCTAGTGGGAACAAGCTGGCAATAGCCGTAGCCTTAGCTCTGGAAGCCTAAGTGTTAGCGAGTGTCCAGCCTTTGATGACTGACCACTGCGTGGCTTTCTCTCTTGTAGTCTTTATCTATCTGGGATTGGACGACGGACGGTGAGACACCAGTCTGCTCCACTCAACTCAGTAACAGCTACGGACAGCAGACCTACGTCCACTTCAATCCTGAAGATACCAGTCAGATTGTCTCCAATAGCGACAGTCAGGTCATCTTCTATGCATGGGTAAGCTGAACGTATCCCATTCAATCATAGACCTTGTACATAGCGGCCATCTTAGAGGCCATCTTGTGTTATTTTAATGCATTAACAATGAATGCACACAAGGTTCACTCATGCATATCCCAGCAAACCAAAGGCATTGCCCTCTAACATGGCTTCTGTGCATGAGGTCTTATCTATTATCACATTTCGTTTGTTTTTGTTCAGACATAATTTTTGGTGTTAAGAAATAGTTGAATAGCCCTGAGATGTCAAAACACATCACAGTGTTAACTATTGTAGAACTGGTTCATCTCAGCGCAATTGGTAAATTTGTGGTTCTGCCGACAAATCTAAACATTATGAATGTGCAGGACATAAACAGAACTCACAACAGTAATGCAAACTTGTATGATTTCATCTCAGTTCCTACTTTCGTAGAAGGGACTTAATTGAGGCCACAGTGACAAATTTTCCAAAAATCTTTGATCTTTTTCAGAAGGGCAACAAGATTGAGTTTGTGGCTCCGTCTCTGACTGATCAAGATTTCAACCGAGTCGTTGGCAACTACAGCCAGTCCATCTACTGCAGTAATAGCACCAGGGCGTTCACTGCGACGTCCGTGGGTAACGTAGTGGTCTGGGACAACTGCAGGCCCATCTCTGGACGTAAGTACAAAAAAATAAGCTCCTACATGATGGGTCATGGGTCAAAGTTCACTTCTTCCTTCTTTAATGACCTGTGTACTCAGACAATAGATCGATCCATTTTGCCTGCCCACTGTGTACGTGTACGTGTTCTACATAACCCCCGAGGACCGACACACAAAGGGAGAACAACAGATCCTTTCAGTCCTCGGCGTTGGGTCCTTTGTTGGAAACGTCCTCTATCTTATGGTTATGTGCTTAGTCTGTGGGAGAGTGTTATATTACAAAGACAAAGGGAAACACAAAGCATTGTCCTCCAGAGTATAGTTATACACGACTGTGTGTGCAGAAACGTGTGTAGAAAAACATGCAGAAACACACAGTCATGAATTTCCATACGCCCAAGGACAATGCTTTGTGTTTCCCTTTGTCCCATTATAACACTCTCTCATAGACTAAGCACATAACCGTACGATCGAGGACCGTTTTCAACAAAAGACCCAATGCTCGAGGACTGAAAGGATCTTTTGTTCTCCCTTTGTGTGCGTGTCCTCTATCGTAAAGCCACGCATGTACGTGTGCCTTTCCAATATCACACTGCATGTTCCAGCTGGGCACGTCATACACATGTGCACACATGTCAGACTTTTGTGCACACATGGTGGACGTTAACCAGGGGCGTGATTGGTCAAAAATATTAAGGGGCGGGGCTTAACAGACTATTGTTAAGATTAAGGTTTGCATATTGATTATCTTTGGTCTTCTTGTGTACAATGTCGGTTTGTGATCTGTTCTCACAAAATGAGAATAAAGTTCCATTCCTTTTTTGAAAATCTTTCAAACATTGATTCGAGAGAGATTGAATTCTTCTTAATCGGAAGGATGAGCAATGACGTTGGATTCACAGGTTTTTTTTAGTAGCTTGAGATTTGACTTGAAGACTTGCATTGAGAAGACTCAACAAGTGCTGAAAACAGACTGAAATATGTGACCCGCTCCGCAGAAATGAGTCTGTTGTGGCAAAACTGACATTTTGAGTTAACTACATTAATAAAATGGGAATGAAATAAGCTTTCATTTGGTATATCATGGACCTCTCTAGGACATTTGGTTGCATTGTTGTGCTTGTTTCATTTTGTAAAGTTTTTGCAAAGCTAGAAGTGTCTCAATGGAGAAAAAGGGCTTTGAAAAATGACGAATACACTGTAACTAACCAAGAAAAGCACCAAAGATTCATAATTTTTTTTCTTTTTCTTAAAATATTTACATTTTTGTGTAAGATATTTGAACTCAAACTATCAAACAACCAAAATAAAACAAAAACAAAAAAATCCAAATTTTGAGCAAATTTTTACTGTTACCATTTCAAAATGGCAAAACCTTGAATTCAAATCATGCGACATCAGACTCATTTTTGCAGAGCGGGTCACATATGGGCTTTATTCACGAGTCGGCCATATTGAATTGAAAGCGAGGTGAAATCTTCATTTTTGGAACTTGCAAATAGAAATGAAAGTAATAAAATAAAGTAAATTACAAATTAATACCAGTCTGCTCTGATGAATAATTTAAAATGTGTGATAAACATATCCTACTGTTCTAAGCCACATTTAAACAAAAACATGAAAGTGAGGCTGGATTGCATAAATAGTCTGGCACCGTCCCATTCAACAGTTCACAATTTATAAAATACATTCAAAGAACCAGACCAAAATGGCTTCCTCATGGATCAGGTCCATAGATAAGAGATGTAGTAAAACTTATATTGGGTATTGCTTGCCAACTCTTTGTTTTAGAGTGTGAGTGTAGATGCGTATGAAACAACTTCTATGTCTTGCATTTGTTCATTTGCAGCACCTCTCCTAGAACCATCTCCAAACAAGAAAGCCTTCAAGCTGGTCCGTGTCCAGGAGCGTGGTATCACCGTACTGACAACTACAGAGCAGTAAGAGCTGATTTGACTTCACTTATTAATCTTTTACCTCTGTAACATCAAAGTTGAGAGGAGTTTCTGTTGTACAAATGTTCACACTGAATATTTTAGACATATTATGCTCCTCTGATTTGTTTTTATTTCTGAGGGGATTGCTTCTAATAAAACCAGAAGCACTCGTGGTTAGAGGCTGACGGAAACAGAGAAACAGAGAAACAAATAAAGAATGCCACGATGTCTCACTGAGGGTGAGAAATTGTCTCACAGACCAACAGACAGTACTCCCTAAGAAATAATGCGAGACCCTTCATAAACTTGCTCATGTGCAGTCAAGTGCATCACAAGTCCCCACAAGTCAATCATATGTCATTCACATGTCAATCACATGTCGATCACATGACAATCTCATGTCAATCACATGTCAATCACATGTCCTCTAGTCTCAAGGCAAGGCAAAAGCTTTTGAATTGAGCTGTGACAAAGGCATTCCTTTGATATAGTTCATCCACTGTTACTTGTGAATGGACGTCTGAGTTGACATGATTTTACATGCAAAGAGACCCATGATAAACTACATCACTGACATGATATACCTCAGACCCATTGAATGATATCGTGTGCTTTATCCTGAATATCTCCATTCCAGATACATTGTAACAGGAGACGTGAACGGCCACGTTAAGTTCTACGATCTACAGCTTCGTATGTCCAACTGGTACAATGAGTTTGGTGTTGGGCCGATCAATTCTGTCTCCTTTGCCTACGTGCCTGACTTTGAGCCCGAGTAAGTAGCTGATTGAATGAGGATGTTTATGATGATGTTGGGTAGTTGAGATATGTCTTTTACTCTAGGAAGTCTGAGGGTCGATAGAATGATCCAGTATAGTAGAATCCGACGACCAGAATTAGAAGCTTTTACTGCGGTGGTGTCACGCTCACTTGCATGCTGCACGCGTTCTTAAAGACACGGCACGCGCACATTTTGGTATTCCTATTGGTCAAAGGAGCCTGAAGCATGTGCGCCCAAGCCTTGCACCATCGCAGAAAATGGCTGCCGTCGGATTTGTCTATAAAGCCTCTCCCACTCATGCGTGTAATGTTTGAAAGCCCCACCATGTAGCTTTGACAACTGTCAAATTGTGTGTCGAAAAATTAATAGAAATTTACACCTACATGTACAGTTGACAACATTTAAATTTGTCTAGTACATCAGGGCACTGCTATTGCTCTTGGTTATCATGCATATATACATTGAAAGGGTATGATTGTAGTCACTGGTTATATTAAAAAATGTCCATGGCGTATTGTCACCAATTTATCAACATTTATTTTTTGGAAGTTGCTTGGATTAGTTCTCCCAAAATCTTCCTTATATTTGTTGCCGGTAATAAGATGTGATTTTGTTTTTTACCACAGATTGGCAGAAGACAGTGATTATCCTCCCGATGCTACCATCAATGCTACCTCCTTCATTACTCGTGATTACATCCTGAGTACATTCATAGCTCAGATTGCTCTCATCATCGCCGACGGCACACAAGTCAAGGTCAGTTGTCATCAGTCGCACAACTTGCAGCATTTCTCTGAGATTTTAATCAATTTTGTATCACAATTTTAAGTACTTTGTCAGCAGTTCTGGTTTAATGGAGAACCCCAAGACTTGGAATAAGAACTTCTCTAAGTTTTGAGACAAGCTGCCGTAAACGTTTATGGTGATTGTGTAGTTACGGATCATATTCAATAAAACAGAATGAAAATCCACTTTGTTGTTCATATTGAACTCACCCAGCTAGTTAGTGATGTTTAAAACCAACCAAAATATTGTGGACAGAGGGCTCTGTGCGCCAACAAAATAGAGCTATTTTTTAACCATTTTTGAGAGCCCCTTAGATGAGACACACCGCGTGCTGTACTGGTTCGCACGCGTAAAGCACGAAATACGCACTACTCATTATATTCTTAATGTGCACAAATTTTGGGGTTAGTATTTTATAGCAAATATTGTTGCACCGACCTGTTTATAGTTTGGTGTTCATTGATGCTGGAAACACCAAGGGCAAAAAAGTGCTGTTCTTGTACTTTGGTTCCCTGACCCTACTTCAGACGAAGTGGAGCAATTCATAGACCTCAGGGAATTGTCAGGTCAGGAACCAGACTAGCTGGCTTGCCGGCACCCCTTCATGGATGTGTGACCGATTGTTAACAAAATGTGGCTTAACAATTAAATTTGGTGCATTTGGGGCAGTATTTAAAAATGATGGTTAGCTAACCGTCGTTGGAAATTGATACAAAAATTACACTTTTCTTGCAAATAACAACATACCAGGTGCAACGATTTCACAGGATGCTTAAGACTATTATTCACTTACAGTCAAGGGAGGTGTTTCAAAATAAGTTGGTAATTTTGGTTTTTTATTGTTTTCAAATGTTGTACATTAGGCCTACGTTACTAAGATATTTCTCTCAGAACTAACCTGGTATTCTCATACCTCAATCTTGTTGTTGTTCTTTCAGATGATTCATTCAGAGCACGATGCAGCTATTCATGCCCTGGCCACTCATCCAAATCTGTAAGTCAATACAACCTTGCCTATCAAACTACTGTCTAAGGGGGTATGGGGCAAGCCCCCCTCTCAAAGTCTGTGCCTCCCCTTCAGAATTTGGGAGAAGGCAAAAAATCATTCAGTGCCCCATCAGAAAATGAGGGCCCTTAGTGCCCCCTTGATGCACTAGTTCTGCCACTAGTTCTCCCAATTCCAAATTTAGTAGTTCTCTTTACTTAACGCCATGATGTTTACAAAATATGTGCAATTGTACATTGTTCAACTTTTTATTGATTCAGTTATTATCAAACATTCCTTTGGGGTTTAGATAAGATACAGAATTTGTATTTTATTTTCAATTTGTATTTACAGATCGCAAGTTGCCATTGGCAGCTATTCAGGGTTTCTCAAAGTCTGGAATTACAAATCAAGGTAAGTACCCGACCAACCAAGAACATAATTATTGCCCAGTAAAGCATAAATTCCTATTAATGTACCCGTAAGGAGACATTTTTCATCATTAGTTACTCCTTGGGGAGACACCGGACATTAAGGAGACATATCAATGTCTTCCTAATGTCACAACTCCTATTTAGAGGCAAAACTGTATTGTCGCAAATAGTCTAAATCGTTTGTGGTGGTCCAGATCATAAATATACCAAACATTCATGTAGATAGGATAAGGGAAATTGGGTTAGGGGTCGTGAAAGTTGGAACAATTTTGTGCACAACCCTATGGGAATTTTCCCCTAAGGTACCATTTCCTGTAATTATAATTCATCTTCTTCTTCTTACCCCACTGAACACCAAACCTGTCATAAGCTAACCTAGTAATGCTAGTCCCAAAGCCCACAGAAATCAATCAAGTTGATTCAGATTGGCTATTCAATGGAAGTCTTTTCATATCTGGTCTCAGTACACCAGCCTTCACCAGCCTACAACCAGGCTTAGACTGTAAATCATCCAACATTGACAACAGTTTAAGAAAAATGATGCAGAAATATTTAGATATTTTTTTTGGAATCAAAAATATTGCAGCGACGTAGCTTTTGATGTCATCACGACATCAAAAGCTATGTCACTGCAATATTTTTGATTCCAAAAAAGGTATATTTCTTATCAACATAATGGAATCTAATAATAGTATACATGCTGTTAAAAATGATGCAGTTTGAAAAGTTGACATTGCTGCGTTACAATGTCACACTGCCCAGAACGAATGGCAGGGAATACCGATCGCACAGCGCTTGCATGCAAGGGAGCACGCAAATTGAATTACCCGCGCTTTGTTTGGGCACTGTGTGGTTACGTTTAGCAATTTCTCCTCGTGTAATCTTTACATTTGCAACTTTTCAAACTGCATCATTTTCATAAACCCTTGTCAATCTTGGACGATTTACAGTCTTTGGTAGTGTTGTATATTGTGTTGTATAATTGCTTCAGAAGTAATCAGAATATTGCACATTGTTTACTAAAAAGTCAATTATTGCCCAATTATTTTGTAGGACTTTGGTGGCATCTAGAAACTTCCCCAAAGGTCATCTGATCCGATGTATGGCCTACGACCCCAAGGGAAATTATCTAGGTAAAATGATGTTTTTATTTTTTTGGTGGTATACATTCACACTTTAGTTTGTGTTAGTGGCGGCTGTCTGTTTGAGTTTCATGATTTATCTGTGTGTCCGATTACATGACGGTATTTTTTTTCATTTGATGCATAGGGCCTTGCCATATGCCAGTATTTTTTAATTTGTTTCCATAGAATTATTTGATCAACTAACAATGCGATTGTCTCATTCTGGTAAAATAAGTAAGCGCCATTGCTATAAAAATTGCAGTATGTTTTACTATACTGACAATTTTCAAAATTCTACACCTAAATTTTTCTCTTTGTCTATGGAATCAGTTGCCTTCAATAGGCCATATTTTTGTCAAATGAGCCCGCTTAACTTAACTTAGATCTTAAACGTAAATATTATTAAAAAGTAGTTTTTTTTTAGATGTAGCAATATGTTCTTAGATTCATGTCTGTTTTTACCCCAAAATGACGTTAAGTTGCCCTCATCGCTCACGAACAAGGCGTACTTGACAGAATCAATTTTCAAAGTTCACATTTTGACATTCTGTGCTAAAGCTATGAAATCAATTGCATTAATTAAACGGAAATAAAACAATAAAAAAATTGACAACGAGCCTAAATATTTCATCTTATTTCAAGGATTGTGAGCCACTATATTGGCTCAGCATAAGCAAACAGTTAATGTTCAAGTGAAATATAGCAGAATTGAGCCCTAGTGCTTCTCATTTAGAATGTTTCATCCTGTCCCTGTCTGCCCACACATGCCTAAACTCAAGGTCCTATACATATTATCTCTTAGCCACGTTGTTCTCTTGGCCCACTGCAGACAACCCTGGTTAGCATCAAACCCCAATCACAAACTACCCCCCCCCACCCAGGTCTATCAATTAGAGGTCTGTGGCTCTCATGTTACAGACAATGACCCTACTGCAGACGCTTGATTACTCCTGTCCTCACAGCGACAGACGACATTGGAAATTATTCATTATACCTCTGTAGAGTTTCAAACTCCACTTCATGCATTTGTTAAAGTGGAAGAACAGATTTTTGATTTGATAATTTCATTTTTATTCCTGAGGCATTTTTCTGGGAATTTTCCTGAATTAGAAAATGAATCACTGCTCGGAACCTGATGGCACACTCTTTGTACATGGACTTCAACTTTCTAAGGAAATCAAGTCTTTATGTACAGTTACATATTATGTGGCTTGACTTGACCATCCATTAGTCCTGCAAAATCTTCCCAAAGATCTCCTGGTAGAGTTACAGGTTAATAATATTATTAATATTTGTAATGTATAAATATGGTACACGTAATATGATGGATTGTATTATATACCTTGTTAGTGCATTCAAAAACCTGTAAAACATTTACTACAGTTTTTACAAAATAAAATTTGTGAAGAGAAAATCTTTTTTTTTTTTTTCAAAGGAAACATCAATTTTTTCTTGAAACATCCAAATGTGTGGGGGAAGATTTTCAGGGGGCAACAGGGCCACGATCTAGGCAACAGCCCCTATTCAGCCTCCTAGCATCATTGACAATGCAGAATCGTTTTAATCATATTTCTTTCTTTTTATAATTTTTTTCCTGCTAAGAACAGAAAAAATTTACCTCATCCAAGGCTACCTACCAAAACGTCATGTACTAGTAATGTTTTCTGCTATATTTAGCTTCTTGACATTGAACAACTGTGGTCAGTGGAAGTCACTTGTTATAAAGTATTGTTGATTATTATTTTTTTTGATGATGATTTACTAGGCGTTGGTTTCACCAATGGCTGTGTGCGCATCTTAGATGCCATATCCCTTGAGGACGAATGCGAGGAGCTGTTCCGTTATTCCCGAGATGCGGTCACTCATTGTACATTCTCCCATGATTCCAAGTGGATGGCCGTCGCTGTAAGTAATGCATGACAGGTCCATGTTGTTTAATCTCACTGAGGTCTAATTTCTATAGATTTCAATAGGGAATTATTCTGCCTGAAATGGTATCATTTGGAGGAACCAATCACTGAAGGTGGTTGAGAAAGTGTACCGGCGGCACATTTTTTACATGCGTCAACACGTATAGTATCCACTGAGCTGAAACTTCAACAAATTAGCTGTTATGCACCCTCCTTAAGATTTGCACACAAAAAACACAAAAACTAAATGATACTATGTACCTTTAAGGACGTTACAGAACAAGGTCAACATAAATATAAATGCAGTTCTTGAATTTTTACAGCCCAATCATTTATTTTGGGTATGACATGGGTGTAAAGTTTGTCATTTTGGAAATTAACGTATTGGCAATAGAGTTCTTCAATGTCGTTCACTGAGAGCTGTTAAGAGCACTGAGTGCTCAGTGCTTTTTAAGTGTTCATAACAGAAAAACTTCACTTACTGTCTTTGTTGGGACTTGAACCCACAGCATACTATACTATTCTAGACCTCTCACTACTACCACTTAAATTAACAAAGCGAATGGAAAAGCATGAAAAGACTTCCAGTGAGCCATTCTGAATCAATTGAATATAATTTTGTACACCCTGGGACCAGCTTTAATAGGCTTGACTCGTCTTGTTTAAAAGTATCGATTTCATCACTGCGACAGATGCTCATTTATTTCATTCTTGGAATCGTCTTTCTTTGCTCGCAGGATGCTGATCATTGCGTCACTGTTTTCAAAGCTCAACATCCCAGCACCGGAATGACGTGGGATTATCTGGGTAAACACAGGGCTCATTATAAACCCATCCAGGATCTGTCGTTTGGCGTGGCTTTGGACTCGGACACTCCTAGGCTGCTGTCTGTTGGACAGGATAGAGCATTGGTAAGGACAAATTGGGGAGAAATTAAAGTTCCAGGGAATGCTATTCTCGGAAATGTCGAAATGTCTTTATTTTCTTGTTAATTCTTGCATGTGATGTAACATATTTTTTGCTGTATGCGCTTTTTCACATTGTTTATATTTAAAGAGTAAAGTTTTCATTTTATTTTCAAATTTTGTTTGCCGGTAGACAAGAGTCTATCGTCAACTGTCAAATTTCCATTTTCAGGAGTTGTATTTCCACTGTCTGGAGTTCAACTTCCATTGTCATGGAGTTGAAGTTCCATTGTCAGAAGTTAAATTTCCATTGTTAGGAGTTAAAGTTCCAATGTCAGGTGTCAAATCTCCATTTTCTCCTTTAATTAACATCATCAGGAAACAGACTTTCATTCTCAGGAATCATCTTCCATTTTGAGGTTGAAATGTCATTGTTCCGAGTCAAATTTCATTGTCAGGAGTCAGATCTCTACCATCCTATTTCGTACATGCCTTTTTTTTTAAACGATCTTCTCATTTGATATAGTTAGTTAGCTTTATTAAACATGTTACTCATCTGACAGTTTTGTTCAAGTATTTTATACGTCATACATTTCTGCTTTAAATGTTGCCTTGATCATTCTCTACAATGACGTCATGGCAACAGATCACTATGTTTCCATCTCTCATTAATGTCTGCCAGACAATCATCCATCCCTCAATCTTGCTGTCCTTAAGTCTCCCAAGACCTCATCCCTCTACATCTCTCATCATCATGCCGTCATCTCTGCTCCAGATTTCTCTCGGACAATATCCCAAGATCTGTCTGATGAACAGTCGTTGGCAAAACTTCCCATTCTTATTAAACACACCTTTCATTTATAAGCTATAGAAATTCAAGGGCCCAGCCTCATCAGAACGTACTGCCAAGCAAACTCATGTGCTATTTAACCCTTTAGTCAGCGCCCAAAAACGTGCTGCCTGTTACGTAGCGCACAAAACTGCTCGAGCAGTGACTGGATTTCATTAGTGAATAAACACAATGTATTATACAGTGTGGCACAGTTTTAATGGGTTAAGCAAACTAAGCCAGCGGAGTACCAGTGAAAAGCAATATGCATAATACGTTTTGGCTGGTAACCTGGTTTTGCTAAGCAACATTTTATGTTGTACTTATCACATTTTTGTGCGGTTATCCCCAGCACAATCTGTGGTATGCTAAATTGTATATGGGACATTCTATAAATTTGGGGTCCCCTTTCTTTTCCTGTCCCTGTTACATCTGACATCTATGATTTTATAATTCTGATGCACTCCTTAATGCTGTGGCCCTTCAAGAGTGATTATGAATAGCAAACTACACCCAACAAATAAGAAAATTGATTGAATAGCAATTTACAAAGTACCAAGGTAACAGGTACAGGAAGAAATGTCACGCTTTGGACCCTAAAATGAAAGGATGACCCATAATGCCAATATAGGGCCCAATTTCATTACATTCCAAGCAGACAAGTTTCCTGCTGTGGTCTGTCTCAAACATGTAGACACAACTCGAGCACAGCCATTATGAACACGCTTTCAGAGGCACAATTTAATGAACAATTTAATTTACTTTTTGGTGCATTAGCACCTGTTTCACATTGTAGTACATTGTATTACATTGTAGCACATTGTATTGTATTACATTGTAGTACATTGTAGCACATTGTATTGTATTGTATTACATTGTGTTTATTCACTGATGAATACATAAAACCATAGAGTGCCTGGGTGGTTTCGGACATTACAGGCAGTAAAAGGCAAGGGTGGTTTGGGGTGGTACAGGGAGTAACAGGCAGGGCAGTTTGGGGCGGTACAGTGAGTGATAGGCCGGGCAGTTTAGGGTGTTGCAAGGGACAAATGGGTCCACACAAACAAGTTTGCACAACTTTATTGTAAAATGTGTTTTAGTGTTTAACAGCAGAGCAGTATACCTCAACTTTTTCTGCTATTCGCATAACTTGGTCCCACTTTTCTTGTCTTATTTTTAACAAAATCTTGTAATTTGTTTCTCTATCAGATTGAGTACGACCTGTTCAACAGCAGTAGAGATGACCTGAAGCTGCTAGGCATGGATCGTATTGAACAGAGCGGTGTGCCTCAATGTCTGGTCTGGTACCCACCCATCACTAAGGAACAATTCTTCCTGACTTCAAATGATCAGGTACCTTGTCCTTTAATCACCTGAAATTATGTAGGTTTTTGAAATCTTGGCCTTGTGTCCAGCGTCGGCTTCATCTCTAGTTATAGGATCATATTAATAGGCATTAAATGTCTAAACAAAATGTAAATATTTTGGCCTTGTTTTGTAGGATTTGATGTTCCTAAAACAGAAAGTGGGCACAATCCCCTGATTACCCAACTACTGTGTTCACCCAAATCCAACTCTTTCCAAGGCGCAGTAATGACTCCAACACTGGGCTTGTGCCATATTGGAGAGAAATGATCATGGTAAACTGGCTTGCTCAAGAACACAAGGAATTCCCAGTTGGGTTTACATTCACAATTGGGTTCAATTCCGGGTTTTAACCAATCATTCATCTAGATTTTCCCCAATAAATCATTACCATAAATCATACTTTCAAAATGAAGTTTTCTTTTCAAAATCATATTCTCTTAAGAGCTATCTTCATTGGACATTGTTCTGTTTTTATTACCCAGGTGGTTTTCCTATTATATGAAGATTTGTTGAAGATTTGTATGTTTGTCATGAATTGTCATTTGATGCTTTCCATAGTGCATCGACATTGCAACAATACCACGTTTACCACCTGAGATTTTGAAACAAGATACACGGACTTAAGAAAACCTCAAGGTTGCTTGTGAAATTAAATATGGTTGTTTGTTTAATAGTTGCAACATCTTGAAGAGTGCTGTATGATGCTTTGAGAAGTCTTCTTTCAATTTGTGGAATTTGCAGACAGATTGGGCTTCTGTTTATGTCATAAAAAATAACATATCTGCTATAGAAGGTTGGATCGTATGCACTTTGTATCGAAAACCTGGATCAAAAGCTTTATTATTTTTACCATGTCAACTTGATGAATATCTCTGCATTTTGTAAAGATTCCTCAAAGCATGAATTTTTTGGTTGAAGCAAGACAATTGACTGAACAGGATTCGTTCCTGCTACTTCCAAAACACTGTATCGGTGCTCTACCCACTGAGCTATCCAACCACAGTCTCCCAATTAATAAAACATCAGTCTAAGATTTTCAGTTACAAATAAGGGTGTTGAATTGCAGCTTGAAATTATTATCTGGACTTTTCAGACAACTTGTGTGATGAAAATTGAATTGTTTTGTTTCATTTTTTTTTTCAGTTCAAGTTCAAGCTGTTTAACACGACAACTAAAATGTGCAGAAAGACGGTGCTTGGTCCAACATATGGCTCACCAATTCAGAGGTAGATTGCAGAGGTCAAAATTTGAGATCCATTTAATTAAAAAACATTTAAGACCAATTAAAGTACAAATCTATTTATGAAAGCATATTCACTGCGTATCGTTTGCCTAGTTGCCAATTTGTGAAATTCCAGTTGCTGATTAAAAGAGCCAAAAAGAGCTCATTTTTTACAGTGAGAGTTTAATCATGTGATTAGGTGCTTGTCTACTTCACTGAAAATGTATCAGATTTAAAGTTTATTGAAACTTTAAGGGATGTATGACTATAAATTGTATTTACTTTGATAAACATCAAAGTAGCTGTGAAAAGTAAAATTGTAAAATTGAAATTTACAACCAAATTTCATGGTGCCTCGTAGTGCATTGCTAGGGTTACAATGGGTTTTGATTGCGTATTTTCCAATTAATCCTAGTTTTCCCTATGATGGAAATTATGCCTAAAATCCTTTGTTTTCCAGAATGCAAGTGCTTCCAACTAAGGACCCGATCCATGACAAGCGATACTTAGCCTTCATTACATCCGATAAAGTCGGAATGCACATTATGCCATTAGATGGAAATCCACACAACGGAATGGCAATGATGGCACATCCCAGTGGAGTAAGTATCATAAAATCAACAGCCTCATACACTGCACATTGCATATTCCAGTGGAGTAAGCTCAGTACAATCAACAGTTACATGGAAATTGCGCACTGTACATCCTAGTGGAGTAAGTTCAGCACAATCAACAGCCATAAATGCAAAATGCACATTGCACTTTCCAGTGGAGTAAGTTCGGTATCATAATCAGCCACATGTACATTGCACACTGCACATCCCAGTGGAGTAAGTACAGTGCAATCAACAGCCATGCATATTGCAAACCAAACTTTGTGTATTCAGCCTCGTATGCAAAAGTTGATAAAAGTGGGCACATCTAATTTAGCACGGGCCTTAATTGATTTCTTAAAGTGATCAGAGTTTGCATTTTTATGAAAACTGGAAACTTCCTAACAAAATGATTAGTACAAGATAACTCTTTTTTCCCCAAATGTTCGGAATATGTTTTCAAACTTTAGGATGATAAAATTTGCTATAATGGGCACAGTTGATCATATGTAGTGATGCTAACTCAACAAAAGATTTTACTCAACAAATTTTCATGAAAAGCAAACATTACTGGAGAGCCAGTAAGCAGCAATGCGCATCTCATAAAAAAATAGCCGTTTCTGGTAGTTTTTTCTCTGCACAGTTGTAGGGCTGTCCATTTCCGAATAATTTAGTATTGGATTACTCGAAACTGCGTTTGACCGAATATTCGGATGCTTGAAAGTGCTCTTCAACTGTGTGCCTAGCCAGTCAAACGTTGCACGAAGAACACGCGAGTTAAAACTTGGGTGCCAGAAGTATTTTAAGATGTCAAGGGATTTAACCTGCTAAAAGGATGGGAACAATTAACAGCCGTCAGCAAAAAAAAAAAGGCACCTGATAATGAAACGTCGTAACTATATGATAAAATAACATCACAGTCGTGTGTTTACATGCAGAGTTTTTGTTTTGAACTTTCAAACCGGTAAAAAGCTATTGGAATATTCGGTTGACAGTTGACATGTTGCGTTCCTAATGGAAGCTACATGAAATCAACCCACAGTTGTTTTTCTGTACTGTTTGTCTTTGCAATAGTTTACAATGACCTCATTGCTTCTTCAGGTCACCAACCTGGCTTGCAGCCACGATGGCAAATATCTATTCACCTCAGGAGGTAGCGATAGCACTGTTCTTATGTGGACCATCAGCATTGTGTAAGTTAACTGATCTCAATCGGGTTTTAGTTTGTAATTGGGTCTGTTTGGACTGGACACTAAGACTGAACCAAGGATAATGATTTTGCCTCAATTCGCAGCACCTTTTGGTTTTGGTATCTTGTTTAAATACTGCTCATTAAAAGTCTGTGACACTTACTTGATAATGTGGGGAATTACAGGGCATCCAAAGCAGTCTTGAAACCTTGGTGAGAAAATAGTAATAGTGTGAGATTTTTTTCAGGATTTTTCCTAGTCGTTTCAGGATTGTTTGTCAGGATTTTTCCTGATTTTAGAATGTTTTTTTCAAGATTTTCTCAGATTTTAGGATTTTGAAAGAATCCCCTTTAGTCTGGAATTTGTGAGGTTTTACCATCAAGATGTTTTTTACCTTAAAAAAGTTGATAACAAAGAAATGGGTGTTTCCTTGGTGCCTTTTGGCAATTTCAAATATGCATGTACACCATTGCTCTGTGGCTCTCAGAGACCCTCAAACTCTCCGCCGATTATTGGGTGGATTTGTCATTTTCCCCAAATATCACTTCTGAGTGGATTTATGACACTAAAGATTGTCTTAATACAAAGCTGTCTATGCGGGGAACATCGTTCAAACCCTATATCTCCGCAGCCTGTTTACACCCCCCCCCCCCAGTCAATTGCATGTTACTCCCCAGCTAATGTCAGTACCAATATACCGAATACTCCTGGGTGGAGAGAGGCAAGTGGGAGTGAAGTGGCTTGCCCAAGGACACAACAGATGACCAGCAGCTGGATTCAAACCCCTGACCCTCTGATCACAAGTCTTGAACCCTAACCACTAAGCCACACTCCCCTATATCTCCAAGTGTGGACAAACCCAATTACTCCAAGTAATTACTGAAACGTAAACATGACAAATATATACATGTAGTTCCAATTCATTATTAAAACACTGGAGTGAAACCACTCCATCAGTAATTGAGTGTTAATATATCTTCACGGTTCATCAGTTAATCATCGACTTTGTTTAGTGTAACCCTAAACACCATTGCCCAGTTGCCAGATTTTCTAATTGGAAGTTCGCCCATCCAAAACAAGTCCCTGTATAAATCAGCCTGGCCAGGATCAGTTTTTTTTGTCAGTCACTCCATGGTCACTCTGTCATTGCTAAGCTGTGGTCAGATTTTTTTAAGCGGCTAGGATTTTAGTCTCCAGCTCTGATGGCCTGCGACAGTAACAAATCGAGCATTTCAGTACATAAATCACTTGAAGTTTGTGAACAAACAAGTCTTAATATTTATTTGGGGTTGAATCCATCCCATTGTGTAGCAGTTTGAAGAAGAGTTGTGCTAACAATAGGATAAGAAAAAGTGGAGTAACATTAAGTAAACTGAAAAGCATATTTTTTTCAGTTGAGAAATGCTAGCAACGTTTGCAAATTTGTATTGTGTCATGATTTTGAATAAATTCTGCCTCTGAATATAACGAGGACTAGAGTCAATAATCACATGACCCTCCGTTGTCATGGATACCTGTGTTTTGAATGCACATCATTATTACATCATTACAGAATCCTCTAGAGTGTAAAGTCATCATTAAAACATGTTCAGGAAAGATATCATCGTGACATAATGATGTCATCCAGTTGGTCAGGAAGCATTTGACCACTCTGTTGCCATGGAAACATCTTTTCTGATGACATCATAATGATGTCATAATACGTTTAATATAGAAATGAATGCAAATTTAGGAAGCGTTAAGTTGAAGTTAAACCCAGGGTACCCTATAAAACCCTGTAAAACCTGGAGTAAAACCCAGTTAAACCTGAGTTACCGTCTTTTTAATTTCGCATTTTCCTGAATGGGAAGTTAAACAGGCAGTAGACTTCATGTTCACCTGAAGGTTCTGCGGGGTTTTGTGGGGTTTTAAGGGGTTCCTTTGGCTTCAACCTCAGGTTATCGCTTGTTTAATTTTGCATTCTGCTCTTGTTGAATCCATTTCTGTGATTGATATCTTCATAGTGCTCTAGAAGCGACAGCCAAGCTCGGAGGCGAGGACCTGATTCCATTCTACGGTCTTCTTGAAGGAGGCAGGGAGGGAGAACTCTTCAGGGAACTGGAGAATTACTTCTACTATGCACAGATCAGAAGGTACATCATCATCAGTCAGTTGAGTGCCTTGTAGACAACTAGATCGTAATGACTGAAACGTTGAGTTCAAACGTAAAGCTGCTGTCATATTCCTTAAGCTCAAAATCAGACAACCTAGATCAAACTACATGTACTCTGCTAAATGTATGCAATCATATGTGTATAAATTATGTTGAGTTGACAAATGGCCAGGTTTGTCTTCCAATCCATCAGTTTTTTGTTAGTATTAGAGTTAAGACTTGACATGGATAAACAATTTGAATTGTAATTTATTTGAATACTTTAAAATTGGCAAATTTTAAAAATACCATCACCTATGTACTACTCTCTCCATCAGCAGGTCACACATTTCTAGCAAGATTCTTTCAGTGTACTTAATCCAGCTTGTATTGATTCAACATTCCTAGTCATTCTTTACATCAGTCACTTGTCAGAACAGTCACAACTGTCACATATGTCACATCTGTCATATCTATCAATCTGTCACCTTTGTTCACTCTTGTCGTACCTTATACTTGTCACACGTATGGCACCTGTCATAGTTGTCATTTGTCATGTGTTACACCAGCCACATGCCACAGATGTCACTTTTCATAATGTGTCATTTGTCACACACGAACACCTATAACCTTTCCCATATGTCACCTATCACATACATCACACATCACATGTGTTACACCTGTAAAAACACCTGTCACATCTGTCACCTATTGCTACCTCTCATCTTACAGCCAAGGTGTGGACACTACCGACATGAGAGAAGTCTCCGTCAAGATTCCACTCAGCGAGATCCCGTTTGTCATGAGAGCCATGGGTCATTATCCGTCAGAGCAAGAGATCGAAGATATGACAAATGAGGTCAAGTTTAGCCAGTATGTGGACACCGGCAAATATAACACGGATATTGACCTGGGGGAGTTCATCAAATGTAAGATAATCCTAAACTATTCCCCTCAGTGAAGTTCACTCTGAATGAATTTTTGGCGTTTGTCTTTTCAAAATGGACTTCAGCTGTATCCCACTGGATACCCCATTTAAGTTTGAGTCCAGCCTGTGAGATAGTGGGGTGACCACAAATTCATATCCTTGTGAAGACACGCACACAATAGGGAACAAAACATTGTAAAGGTCTCCACAGGGCAATTTCTATAGATGAATAGGTCTCCACAAGGTTTTCACGAAATAGATATATGGGTTTTACTCAAAAACTAGAAATTTCCAAGGTGGGTTGATCTGTCGCAAATGGAAGAGTTTTAGAAAAGGGATATCAAGTCCAAATTTCAGCCAAGGAAACTAATTCTGGTTAAAATAAGAGCATTTTGAAACTTCACTTTCAAAATTGAACACTTTACTACTCGAGAACAAAGAAATGTCTCCACAAGGATACAAATTTTGGAATGTGTGTGTGCCCTTGGGCAAGACACTTTATCACAATAATCGCTTTTCTCCACATAGGAGCAATTGGATACCAGTGTGGGCGGAGATGGTTAATGTATATGTTTGGATATTAAAACTGTTGGTATAAAAATGGTAGCTTGAGTTGTATACCCCCAAGGGATCTGAGATGTTTTTGTAATGTTTTCATAGGCCGGGGGTAGTAATGATGTAACACCTTGAGTGCAAACACTCTCAGATATGTTCACTTTATAAATGTGTACTCATTATTAGCGAAAGGCAGAGTTATCTAAACAAGCAGTCACATTATGATGAGGACTGTGAAGGCTCTGTGAGTGCACCCAATCATCTACAATGTCGTGTTTGTTTGTTCAGTGTACGTCAACCATCGGCCGGCCTTTGGGTTATCAGAGGCTAAGCTACAATGGGCGTTTGAAGTTCTGGGCTTTGATGAGGGGATGGGGCAGCCTGCTATTGAGAGGGGAGAACTGCTACACATGCTGCAAAACAAAGGTAGTGACACATACATGATCTGAGTCATTAATGTCCTGTTATGGTTTTTGTATTCATCCCAGACAGGGACGGATCGAAGGGAGGGGGGGGGGGGGCATGGAGGGGGGGGGGGCCTACATGGAGCAGCATGGGCTGCCTGCTCAATTCCTGGATCCTCAAGTTCATAACAAAGATCCAACCCATTGTGTGTCTCCCTCCCCCCCCCCTCTAGAAAATGAGGCCCCTTAAGGCCCTCCTGCCTACAATTGGGTCTAAACAACAGATCAAAAGAGATATATCCATGGTCTGCTCGCATGCTAATTCACTTGTTAAACCCTCTGCAATGCAATGCTTCAAACAACACTTCAAATAACATTATAGCTGAAACTTCTTGTTAATTGCAATACTGAGATCCCAGAAATGCCAGTATCTTGAATGAACAGACTGATTTCTTATCTACCGTCTTTTTAGATCTAAAATGATTAACTTGGTTGTCTTGTTTTTGCAATGGCAGGCGAGCAAATGACAGAAGCCAACTTAGCAGAATACCTGACGACGCTACTGGGCTTCAATCCAGAGGGAGGGAGTTCAGAGATTGGAAGCTTCGACCCAGCAGGCGCTGCCGACTTGCTGGACGAGAGTCTACCGGAGCTGATCACAGCGGACATGTTTGCTGGCGAGGTTCTCGGGTTCGGTGGAGTGGAGGGCATGGAACAGCCGTCTGCTTCTGTCATGGAATAAAACATGAAATAGCTGTTGGCTTCCATCTTGAGTAAATCAGAAACTGTCATCTGCTTCCAGTATGGAGTAAAACATGAAACAGTTGCCTGTTTCTAAAATGTAGTAAATTAAAAAGTGATAATTTGCTTTGAGTGTGGAGTAAAACATGAAAAAGTTGTCTGCTTCCGTCATGTTGTAAATTATAACATTCATCTGTTTTTAGTATGGAGTATAAAGCACGGAACAGACGTTTGCTTCTTTCTTGGAGTAAAACATGGAACAGTTGTCTGTTTCTGTCAATGAGTAATACATGAAACAGCAGTCCTGTCATGGATAACAAGTTTGTAAATAACATGGCAGCATTTGTAAATAAATGTACAGTGATTTCAAGTGCCGACGCTTCATGCTGTTGATTCTTTCTGATTTTTAAAACAGAGTAATGGGAAAATGCAAGTGTCAAACAAGTGAGTTTTGTTGAGTGTGAATTGTGTATCAAAGTATATATTCTTTTTTCAAAACAGAATTATAATGGACGTTTAACTTCATGCATTGGAATGCACTAACTGAATTCAATTTGAAAGTAAACCTCTTCCAATGATTGGTGTGTTTGTTAACAAGGTGCCCTAACAAGTTAAAAAAAAAGTCTACAGTTAACACAACCAGCAGAAATATTATTTGGAGAAATAACAGGTCTCCAAATAATCTTATTGACAATTTGATAATGAGGGTTCACACATTTTCTTTTTACATGTTAACACATTATTTTGGAACATTAAACATAAATGCACTGGTTTCCACTCTCAAAATAGCAAAATTTACTTATAAACGATCTCAAAACGTATTACATTTTCTGTACACGAAACGATGTTTTCAATCTTGTAATTGCTATTGCAATTGAGTTCCACGCGCGGCAACAGCAACACTTTCCATTTAGATTAGCTTTTAAACATGCCCTGTAAATTTGAAATGACAACCGTCCATATTATCTAGTATGTTTGCTTTAAAGAATATCGATGTACATGTACATGTATATACAATTTGTTTTACTCCAAGGAGATGTACATAATAAAGAGATAGAGATTAAAATGAAGATTTTTGATTACCTCTATTTTTGGTTAAGGTGGATTAAGAAAGATGTTTGGTTGTGGTACCCGTTGTTAAATCAGACTCGAACCAGCCAACCGACCCCGGCAAGCTCGGTGGGCGAGTGGTAAGACATATGTAAGACATCGGGAGGTCGTGGGTTCAAGTCCCACCCGAGTATTCTTGTAAAGTTTATTCTCGCAAGCCCTATGATGTACATGTGCATGTACATGTACAGTGTATATAAATTACGTCGGCAAAAGGCAAAACCCAATATACAATTGTTTAGCTTTACTTCTGTATTTTCACGTTCTCTTAACGTGTGTCAAAACACATTTTTTGTATTTTTTTCTCGTGATTATACATGGCTAGTTACCTAGTTTGCCTCTAATTAAGTAAGTATGACTTTATAAATACTTGATCACTTAAGCTTAGCATTGGAAATAGCCAGACGCAACTGGCATATCGTGCGAATTTTCTGACTTGGAAGTTCGTTTACGAAAAGATGGCCAATTGCTAGACTTGAAAGAATACTTTTAACCTTTATTTGGCAATTAGATTTGTGTTAAAGTGCCTTTGTGAGTTTGGAAGCAGACAAACCATTCTTAGGATTGAATTCCTTCCAGCTTCGGCACCCTTTCGATTGCCTTTCATTAAATTGGCATAAAAGGGAAGTGTCTAAAGGTGTTAAAGATTACTTTCTTCAACCACCCTTCAGACTAAATCTCAAATTCCTTTTGACAAACACCATTAAATCTCAAGATTATTGTAGCATCACAAATGTACCAAACGTCCTCTTCCGGCGATGCTTGCCAAGTCGGAAACCTAATCTTAGACAAAGTGAAAGGAATATAACTAATGGCCGATTGGTTACTTTGCCAACAAACAATGAGACGAGAGCAAACAGTCTCATACTTACCGTCTTCGATCTGATCGGCCCGCTTCTTAGCTTGCATCTTGTAATTTGATCGGATCGTTCTTGAGGTCTAACTCCATGTTTAATTGAGTGCGAAGTTCGTGTTGGTTTCGCAGATTTTTGTTTTTCAAATTCCGTTTTAAGCATATATTGCAAATGATGTGAAGCTACTCAGATTTTTTTTTCTTTCAGTAGCGGAGTTGTCAATGTTAATCACCATCATGGATGACTATGGCTTCCACGCCTTATTGAAGATACATAGCACCGTATGCTTTCTGCGCATTGGTTTTTCGTGTGAAGCAACAAAATTGCTCAAAATCTTTATTAGGATGCAAAACAACTAACCTGTTGGAGTCTTAGCTCAGAGGATACCACACATTTTGAGATGAAGAAATCATGCACAATTGTTGGGGTCTCGTAACTGTATTCCATTGCTATCGCACGTAAAAAAAAAACAAGCTGCCCGCGGGCACTTGCCTTAAAGGTGTATCATTGTCATTTGTCATTTGTGCATTTTTTTTCTTTTGAAGCAACAAAGTTATCAAAATCTTAAGAAGGATGCTTAACAACTAACGTGATGAAGTTTTAGCTCTGTGAATGCTGTATATTCCGAGAAAACAATATTCTTGGATCTCGGTTTTAATTCAAAAGTTGCCGAGTTATGTTATGAATTGCGCCCGAAATCAGCGTCCGGGACACGTTCTCATTTAGCCAATTGCTGCTACGCGATGTCGATGTCACGCACTGAACTGGGCCCAATTTCATAGCACTGCTTAACAGTAAGCAGAAAAGTTGTACTTACTATAGCAGAAAATCATGCTGCTTAAGCACTATTTCATGCTAACGGTTGCGCGCGCATGGAGATTTCTATTGTTACGTCACTGATTTAAGCAAAGTTTTCTTCTGGGGTTAAGCGTGCTTTTGCTGTGCTTACTGCTTAACGGTCCCTATGAAATAGATGGAGGCTCGGTAAGCACAAAGTCAGCTGTTAAGCAGCGCTATGAAATTGGGCCCTGACGATAGCAACCGCGCGCGTGCGCGCGCACCGTGTCAACGCACGTGGCGGCGCTTCCGCACACCCGGACCCATTCACGGATTCGCCCAATTACAAATCAATTACTAACGGAAATTTCCAAAAAAATGTGTCACTTGACACATCTTTGGAAATGAACTTCTTTTAGTATTTCTTTTCTCAAAATGACAGCATGCCAGAAGGAGTATTTTCATAGGGAGTTTAGTGTCATTACTATCTTTAAACCAAGTAAGTTTTTTAACAGTGTTTTATTCGGTCATTTTTTGTTAGTTTCAAATGATCCACTCTACCTTTAAACCACCTTGAATGTTTTGTTTTCCTCCAAACGATACTTTTTTTAGGAGGAATAATCTCACAGAGTATTTGGTACCAGAATGATTGGGCCTGGTTACGCGATATCATCCGGTGCTGTGTCTTCAAGATAAATGCTTTTCCCTGCCGTTGTAGCGCTTGACTCAGCTCGGCAGAATAAGCCTGGTTGAAGAGTAACTCTATACCATCAAACTGTTTGTAAAAACGTCAGTAAAAGGTGCTATGAAACACGCCCTGCCAGCCCTATAGCGTGAATGATGGGCTACAGAACGATTAGAAACATAAACCTATCACAAAGACCGTCACGGGATGTATCACACACTGCAGACACCAATCGTTTCGGTTCATTGCTAACCCGTGATCGTGTGGAAATGTCTCGTATGTAGGCCTATACCAAACTGTGACACCACTGCGTGATGCGTTCAATTAAACTCAGTTCTGTTTCATTTCCAGTCACATTTTACACGGACACTTTCCCATTTTCCCGCCAAATTTCCGTCCAAGCACAAGTAATGTATCCCTCGGCGATAGCAAAATATGTCTGGATACCATTGTCGCTTCCGTATCCAAGTCATTAACACGTTCGGTTTTAGGAAATTACTCGGATGGGTCATCTATCTTACCGTGTCGGAGTAGCCTATTTCAATTTGACGCCGTTGAAGTTTGAAACTTCTTTTCTTTCTTCACTGAAGGGATTTTGACGCTTTGGTTATTAACCTGTTTGTGTGAATTACGACTGCCGTGAGGTCACCGCTCGTTGACTTCGGTAATCGTAAGTTTCCATGACAGTAACTGATGAGGGATTCGTGAGAAAGTGAACTTTTGAAAAATATGAAAGAAAAAGGGAAAGAAATTGCTTCAAGTTCAGCAGAAATCGGGTGGAGTTGCCGAAGTTACTGAATAAAGGGGGAAACAATCATTGACTGAAATTCGTATTTCATTTTGAAATGCTGGAAATCTTGCAGTTCTATTTAATAGCCATTATCTTAATGAACGAAACTCGATGGTTTAAAAGATTTGCTTAATTCAGAATTGAGTTTGGTACAATTGGTAGTTTCGCCCTGATCCCTTACATATCAGCCCTCTTGATATAACCACAGAGTAATCAGTACTTGTTTGAGCTTTTACCACATCCCTAGGCTTTCCTTGGTTTAATTGATATAGAACTTAATAGCGGAAAAATCAACCGTGTGGAGTACACACGAGTCATCAAGCGAGTATAGAATCGGCCCCAGCGCCGCAGGAAACCACTACAGCGCGTCCCAAAAGACCATTTTCCTTTGACGAGGCTTTAGCGTCGGCGCGGAAACACGTATCGCCATCATTGTTATACCATTTTAAAGCTTGGAATCTTAACTTTATCCCTGACGAGTATTGGTTTTATGTAAAAGAAAAAAAAAGTTTTAAAATTATTTGTGTTCAAATGAAGGCATGTCGAAAACAAACTCAACCGATTTCAAGGAAAATCTAACCAATACTCACCAGGGATAAAGTTAAGGTTCCAAGCTTTAAAATTATGTAAAAATAATGGCGGTACGTGTTTCCGCTGTGACGCTAGAGCCTCGCCAAATAAATGTTGCGGGTATTTTTGGGACGCGCTGTCGATAGACCCCGGCCCAGACTGCAAGCTCGGCGCGCCTGACAAACCACCAACGGTAAATCACTTCGCGATTTCTTACTACTGCGTGTTTACGTCCATTTTCGAAAATGAGCGCACGAGTTCAGGCCAATCTGCCATGCTTAAATAATGAGGGAGATATATGTACAGAGGTCGAGAATGGCAGCGATTGCGGAGTGTTAATGTCAGATACACCTGAAAAAATATGGACTGGAAAACTGAAGCTTGTAAATCACACCAGTAGCTCGGGCCAGGAGTTGCTTTTGAGGAATTCCTTAAACAGTCCTTTTGTTTTACAGGACATATAATTCTCATGTTCTCAAATCTATTCTCACTCAAAATGCAATTTTACCTCGGGAAAAAGCCAACTTGGGAAAAAGTTTTTGAGCCCCTGTGATACGCGCTGCATATACTCCGGTGTAAAATTAACACGAAGCGGTATTAAAACTAGATGACTCGTGTAATACGGACACCATATGGTGTTAATTAAACACTATACAGTTTGGCAGTGTTAAAGGGTGTCTGTTGTACCATTCTATACTATTCGGCCTATATGGTTTTGAATTAAAACCAGGTGCTATGTTGAGCCATAATGTCCAGTATAATACCAGACGGTTTTCTGTAATTTTTGCAGTCTTATATATATTTCGATGCGAATTCCAACGTACATAAGTCTTTAGTGTCAATAAATTTAAAGAAATCTATCATTTCATGGATTTTAGTGCAATTCACAAATGTACCGATATTCCAATATGGTATCTATATTTAACCGCACACATAGCTTCGGTTCAGTTATACCACGTAATGTTAATTTGCACGAGATGTATGAGATTTTAATAGCTGAAATGAAAATATCCCCAATTTATCGCTGTTTACATTCTGTCTGATGGTCCTATTTATTCAAGAAAGCTAGATGTCTACGCCTTGAGGTATACGTCTCTCTAGTTTATCGGCCAAACAATCTGGCTCACGCGTTCAACTCATTGATTCGATCCTGTAGGGCATGACCAAAGACATTCATAGATTGGTGTTTTGGTTTTGGTGGGTTTATGAGCAACACGAGCGTGTCATTACGCGAGGACCAACAGGCAAATAACTCCACTATTGAAGAAGGGATCATTGCTTTCT